GTGCGCGTGTTTTTGTGAGGGATAAAACACTGTATATTTTATATATATATATATATATATATATATATATACATTATGTCTCATATGTTTAATTCGCACAAAAACATTGTGAGATAATGCCTGAGACTTAATGAGTGAGCTAGAGGTGCTGGTGTGTTATGGTCTTTATGCTAAGCTAAGCTAACTGGCTGCTCTTACATCTATGCAAGAAAAGCGAGTAAGAGCATTCCCAAAATACTGAACTATCATTTTAAGAATATATTAATCATAATTTTATTATATCAATCTAAAAATCAATTGTTAACAGACAGACACATAGGAGAGAATTTTCTACATAAATTAGTCAAAATTAGACGTTGGATGGAATTTTCTGCTTTTTTTGTTTTCTTTTATTGTTTCAGAAAAATAAGTAAGTGGACCTTGAGTTAATATTTGTTGTCAAACTGTAGTGGGGTCATTTGTTTATGTTGGTACAGAGATGCAAGAGACAGAAACTGAAGGTGAAAGTGTGTTTTCTCTTGCATTAAAAACAAAACTTTTTAACTTCTGCATTTCTACTTCCTGTTGACTTAATTAGCCCCTGGTAAACCCAGTGTGTTGCTGTGCATGTACAGCAGATGCACAGTGTATTCAGGGATGATATGAACGTGGGCCCCTGGGCACCGACAGGTAAAAGGCCCCTCACCCCTTCCCTTACAAGACCACCTGACACAAAACAACTACAAACGACTGTTTGTGTATTTTCTGTCTCTTTGTGGTTGTTTTCTGTCTCTTTGGGACCATTTTGTGTGTCCTAACAGATCTTTGACTTTCAATGAAGAAATATTATGTGTCACTTCATATGAAAGCTCAGTGTTTACTTCTTTTAAAAGAAGAGAGGAGGATAAAGAGAGGAGGATAAAATAAAGTGGAATTAAACTAGCCTACATTCATTAAATTCTGTTGCAACATTTTATTATATATATATATGTATACACGCACACTCACACACACTGTACATTATCTTTTTTTGTTCTATGTATTATTATTAATCTATTATTATTATTTTTTGAATAAGATATTAAATAGGTTTTGTTTTGTGGACTACTGAATTGAAGAGAAAAACATTATTATTTGGTTGATTCCCCCAGGAGGTAGTAGTTATTCATTTGTTTCCATTTTAATTATTTTTTGCCACTAAAAAGTTACAATTCAAAAAGATTTCAATCTTTTCTTTTGTTGCTTGACTATTAAATATTCGTCTGAGGTTTTGCTCAGGTCTATGTAAGAGCAATCAATTTTCTATTACAAAAAAATCATTATTTCTTTGACAATCTCTTTCAAATATGAAAAAATTAAAGGGCAAGAACAGAGCATGTGATCAATTTTTTTAATCTACACTGTCTCCAGCATTCATTTTGTCCCTGATAACCTCTTTGAATAAATTTCAATTTTAGAGTCAGAAAATATCATGAACTTTCTCAGAGACCTGGAACTGGTGGTCTCAGTCCGAGTCTAGTTTTCCTTTATTTCTACAGGCCCAATTCTTCCTCCCATATCTGTTTGACATAGGCCGTGCTGTAGTTCCTGTAGTTACTGTAGATCTTGGAGTTTTGGATTGTATCGTTATCCGAGATGCATCAATAAATACATTGACCAACTTAGGTTCACTAAAATTTTTTCTGACCTGGAGATTTCCAGATATTTGAAAGGTGTTTAAAAAACTCTGAGCTAATAAACTTTAAAGTCTGAATTATTTGTAAATTACTTCAGTATAATGTACCTTTATTTCAATCACAGTCAACAGGGTCATGTCAGAAAAAGCCCCTTCAATCTGAAAATGTTAATTTGATTTAAAAAGAAAAAAGGTGATTTTACTTTGACTTTGCAAAAGGCTTCAGTGTTCATTAAAATGTGAGGTATCGTAGATCAAAAGCAGCTGCAGCAGGAAAGTGGGGAGGATACGTACATGGTTATTTTTACCCAGGCGTTCAGATTAAAGAACAGCTTTTAAAATGAAAGACCTGTGAGCTCCAGACTTCAGCTGCCATTCAGTGTCTGAAACAGGCCTTTGAAAAACAGCCATCTTTTCCACCACCCCCACCCCCCCACCCCGACTTAATGCATCTTATCTGGAGCTGCTGGCTTTTAAAGCTGGAGCGCTGCCCGTTAATAACAAAGCTTACATTTCACATACGTGTGTAAGAGACCACCTCCAGTGAAATAACTCTGGGCTGTGCAGCCGGAGCACTGTGTGGCTCCTTTGTTAAAACCACAATGATATAACTAGAGGGGGGGGGATAAGTGCTGCTTACAAAAAACCCACAGAACTTTTCATACCACTCATGATCTAAAAGTTTAACCATTTTACTGCTAAAGCTGACCTGGTTTATGTTCTGGATGAAATTGCATGCTCTGCTCTGGCTATGGTTTAGGAAACATATGGAACGCCATATAAAGAGTCTTTGGACAGTGACAGTTTGTATTGTTGTACTGGCTCTGTACTGTAACACATTGAATTTTAAAAGAAAGAATGACACTCAGCTTCACTCTCAGGGTGTTTACAGTCTCCTTGGATTAACAGAGAAGGAAGTGGAGCCATTTTTAGACAGTCGCTGGAGTTTAGGCGGCAGAGAGTTGAAGTAAGTGGAAAAAGTTAAGATGTAAGATGTAATAGGTCACTCCAGTAATTTTACATGTCAGAGTCCATTTACCTCTCTCAGGAGGAACTCAGCCTGTGAGCACAGTTTGTGTAAAGTCTTCTGTGTCTGGAAGAGGTTCGTCTAATCTGAGAAAATGCATCTAAATTTGGAATTGGAGACTCCAGATTTTATCTGACGGCCTGCGTTACAAAGTGGAGGCATGGAGAGTAGATGTTTACAAGGCAAAGTGAGTTAATTAGTTACCATAACTAACCGTGCTGTTCACATGTGTGACTACTGAGAGCTCCAATGTATCTGACTTGGTGCTGATTTAGTACAGAATTGCATGGAAAGGCAAATATGGAGCTTGAATAATACTAGAGAGTAGAACTGCTTCAGCTATTACTTTTTTTAAAATCTGAATTTCACAAATTTCTCAAATTTATACAAGAACTACATAGAGCCAAGTACATTTACTCATGTACTGTACTGAAGTACCATGTTCAGGAACTTGAACATTAGTGTTTTGATTTTATTTTACTTCAGACGTCTACATTTTGGAGGCAAATATTGTACTTTTTTATTCCTACATTTACCTGAAAACTAGAGTTACTAGTTACTTTGTAGATTATGATTACTCACTTATACAATATGTTGCATAAAATCTACAGTGGCTTCTCTGCCCAACAAGAACTTGTTATACTTTAAGTAAATTTTGCTGATAATACTTTTCTTCTAATTAAATTTTGAAAGCAGGACTTTTAGTTGTAACAATACTTTTACGTTTATTTAAAATATATTTATATTTGTCGTTTTAAGGACTAAAAACCATCTCAGTGTACTTTTACATCTCCTCTCTCAGGCTTCTCTCTGGAGCTCTAGTAACAACAGGTCGGTGAGCCAATCAGAAGAGAGGAGGCTCTGTTCCTCTTTTCTGATTGGCTAACTGTTTTCTGAGCGATCTAATAAAAATACAGCAGATTTCAGGTAAACACTCAGAGAAACCAAATCCTGCAAGGATGATGGGTCCAGGTGGGCGGGGCTTGAAGGCAGGCTGAGAGCAGTGAATGCTTTGTTGTGACATCACAAAGTCACAGAAGTCCTGACGGCTGGTTTTAAGGCTCAGTTTCTGAATACAGGCTGTGTGCATTTCTCTGTGGACTGAGGCTTTGATACTTTCACATTATTAATATAGAACCTAGACCTGATCTATAATCACACAACACATGGAGTAAAGTGAGATACTTTTAAGTAAGAGATAGTCTGAGTAATTCTTCTGCTTTTAAATAATATTTGATATTCAGATTCAGTTCCTACTTGAACTCTCTTGTATTCAACCTGATGACCTTGTGCTGCAGCCAGTTCCACTCTGGTCTTCAGCAAGTGAAATGCATGATCAGCGGAATTTAGACCATGTGACTTATCATCTGGTTGCCTTATTGTATGTTTCAGATCACTGTTCTACTGAACTGTCCTAAAATTTAAGGAACTACATTAAACTGACGTGTTCTTCTGATTAAATGTGAATCATTTCTTAAACCTCAGTTATTGTTTCATGTCCACTGTCCCACAGAGCAACAACAAAAGGAGAACATGTCTCTGTCCTCATACTTCCTCAGTGTCCTGTTTGCATGAACACCTGAAAATCAGTGCAGGTGTTGTCCCTTCACTCACCTGCTCCTCCCCTGTGTGAAGACATGGAAGCGTCCCACAGGCACTAAGGACCAGGACTGAGGCCCCTGCAGGTTCACACACAGGATGTAGACACACAGCAGGGAGCAGACCGTCAACACGCCAAGAACCAGCCTCCTCTGGAACGCCATCCCCGTCACGGAGTGCGTGACCCCGGCCGGCAGGCTGAGTGTGCTGGCCCAGCCCTCCGCTCCACCTGAAGGAGCATGAGGAGGCAGGCGGGGACGCTGTCCCGCTCAGAGTTCTGTGTTTTTCTGGTCCACCAGAGGAGGGAAGGCAGGGGGTGTCGGTGATGGTGGGGGGGATTTAATTAGCCCACAACAGGATCTGGGCTCCACTCTGGGCTTCTCTCAACACAGCTACAGTGGGAGGGAGATAGAAAGAGAGTTGGAACAAGGGCAAAGACTCGGGGCGGGGGGGCGGGGGGCAGCATGGAAGGGGAAACTTTATCTTTCAGCGTCAACAGAATCCCAAATAATCCCTTTTTAATGAAGCACACAAAGTGCTGGGTCACAATCTTCACATCCTTTCACACCCTATTCTTACTATCTCCTCTTTGCTCTCACTGTTCTTGAAGAAACAGACTCCACACAACTGAATGGAAAAGAGTCACACAGCAGAGAGAAGCTGAACATTTAGGCCCATCCTCTCAAACTGACCGGTAAAAATAAAAATCTAAAGTCAGCAAAAACAGGAAGCCAGAAACATTATCTTACAGGAAACATCTATGTGGCCCCGTCTGTTGAGGTCAACTGAACACTGCGAGACCCTGGAGATCTAGAAGCTGAAGGCATTAGCATACCACTGAGCACCTCCCCTCGACACTTCTCACCTCTTTGTTAAGTAGTGTCACAAACAGAGCCTGAGGCGAGGCCGCTGAAATCTGCTTTCTCAACTTCTATCGAGTCAAGCCTCGAGCTGTTTCTCAAATCCAACAAATCCTCAGAGGTAAGTCGCTAAATGAGCGGGTGAATCAGGAGAAAGAACAACAGCACTGATGACAGTGTGAGAGATACAGTTTCCCAGTCTGGTGTGAGAAGGTGCTCTGGCTGAGGCTGTAAGTAGGAAACGGAAAAAATGTGTTGCAGTGATCTAGTAATAAACTCAGCTCTCATATCTCTGATAACAAACACACGCACACACACACACACACACACACACACAACAGGAAAACTCCAACAAAAACTAAATTCAAGCTTTCCAAGAGATTTCTACTGTAAGTAAATGTCAGAAATAACTTCTCAGGGCAAAACATGAGGCAAAACAAAGCATACATGCATCACGTTGTGACAAACCATGACTCAATCTCTCTTCCTTTAGTCAGGTCTCCTCTATTGCGTGTCTCTGTCCTCGTCTAACAGACACAGAAAACTCTTCAAATGTGAACCAGGAACATTAAAGAAAGAAAAACCGGTGTCCTCTCACCAGCAGAATATCCTTGTTGCTCTGTGATCTCTTTCCTTCACCGTGGTGTAATAATATCAGCATACTCCTCTAAGTTAGGAGAGCTCTGCTGCTCATCTAGTGTGGAGCGGTTGCACTGCCAGCCTCAGCACTGTATGGGCGGGACCATTGTGAAATGAGCAACAGCTGCTGGCAATTGGTCAACCCCCTCAACTCCAGAGCATGAGTTGAAGGGGAGGAGGGAGGGGGGAAGAGAAAGAAGCCCACTCTAGGCAGCAGGCAGTAAAGTTAGACATGAGCAGGCAGCTCTGAGGATCTCTGCTATGCTCACAATGTGTGAGGAGAGACCCTGAACACAACGCAGTCATGACAGACAGGAGACAGGAGGAAGAAACACGCAGGAACTGTCGGGTGGCAAGAAGGAACATGCAGCCTGACAGTCTGTACAGAGCAAGGGAGGAGGACACTGCACTGCGTCCCCATCCATCCATCCATCCATCCATCCATCCAGGCAGGCAGGCAGGCAGGCCAGTCAGTCAGCCTCTCTGGGTTTGGTTTCCTCTGTCAAAAGGAAAGGAAATACGGGGGGGGGGGCGGCACGTTTCAGTGCGCACAACCAGTTGCTGTAGCGGTCCAGAGGAAGTGAGCTAGCTGGAGGGCGAGGAAGAAAAAGAATGAGGGGGGATGGGGGGGGGGAAGAAGAAGTGGGTCAGCCGTGGACATTATTCCAGATGTATAGGCTGAAACTCTGAGGTGGTTTTAACATGCCTACATACAGACAGGGAAAAGGAGGAACATAGCCATTTACAGGAAATAGTTTAAACAGTAGAAATTTCAGAATAAAAGTCTTTATTTAAACACTGTCAGTGAATCTTCTCAGGCTGTAAACCAACAGCTGCTTTGGTTCATACCGTGACGTCCGCAGGATTTTCAGTAGCTGTGACTTAAGACACGTCTTTGTCTCCAGCCAATGAGTTACAGTGTGAGAGCAAGGGATGATGGGGGGGGACAAGCAAACAATTGTGTGTTTTCCCACAGCGAACACAAATGAGGACCACAGTGTCTTCCACACAATCTTTCCTTTTTATTCTCTTGGTGCTGATGGATCAGTCACTGTCTCTTCACAGTTTTTAGACCATCACCATGAAGAACAATGAAAACTAGACTAAAAAAAAAAAAAGATAACAAAACGGTGCATTCAAGAGCTACAGGTTCGGGCACAGAGGGTTACACATGTAGAAATGGAAACAGAAACAAAACAATGAGCGATGACAGCTGGAATGGTTTGTGTACAAAGTTACAAAAAAAAACAAAAAAACAGGGTACCTTGTGCATGTGTGAGTATCTGACAGCACGAGGGTCATCTCAGGTCAAAACAGGAGGAATGGTGGCATACAAACACACACACACATACACACACACATGCACACACACACAAAGGCAAGGCTTATTGGCACTTGTAGGACGGGCATGCGCGAGGAATGCCAACTCACATCGCCACCCTCTCGGTTTGGAGGCCAGCAGCCCCGTCTGCTGTGCCAACACCGGCGGAGGCAGCGAGCAAACTGTGGTGCTCCGGGGGCCTTCGGCCCTCCAAACCAAAGTCCTCATGACTCACAGTGAATCTCAGTTGGTGGCCGTGACACCCATAGAGACGTATGACACATATCAACCACCTCTGCCCTGCTAACAGGCTTTAATCTGGGGTATTATTCTTTTAAAGGAGGGTTTTACTATTTGGTTTAATGCTTAACAATGTGATTTAATGCCTCTGAAGTCCCAAACTGCATTACCCATAATGCTGCATTATGTTAACCCCTATCCTACCATAACATTTAACTTCATATGAACCCTTTACATCGTGGCTCGGACAACGTTCATGTCAGAAAAACCTAACATACTGTATTTAAACCACCTAAAAATGGCATAGTTATAAAATCTCACTGTGACAGTTCTCAGCTCTGCCAAGTCACTAAAACAACCCTCGACCTTCCTGTGGACCAGTAACACTACGAAGGTCATGGGAGAGTGCTGATTTGGAAAATAAATAAAGGAGAAAAAGAAAGACAGAATAAATATTTTCTGATAGGAAGCTTTCAGAGCCACATCGGAACGTGGTCTTTCACATCATGTTGCAACTAAATAACAGGCTTTACTTCCAGGTTTAGAGTTTCTCTCTGCAACACAAACTCTTGTTACACTCCCCACCTACCACCCCCCACCTCTCACTAACTCAAGCTATGGACCGTTCTAACTGAAATCTTATCCACAAAGCCTTCTTGTGTCTCTGGGAGGGGCTTCCACATATCTTCATTAAATGTGAGGGTAAAGAAAATGGAAAAAAAAACAACACAGATAGTTTACATGTGTGTGTGTGTGTGTGTGTTGAGTCTGATGCGTTTTGTCACAGCTGCAGCCTCAGAATCAGGCCGCTAGAATCTACATGGCATTTAACATACCTCTAGTCACATGCCTCATGCCCCCTCAAACCCTGCTACCACCCCGCTCTGTCCCAGCTCTGCTTTCCTAATCCTATAAACATTTTCTATGCGCATTCCTCCCTCCCATCCTCCCACCCTCCTCTTCTTTCTTTCTTACATTCAGTAACTTTCAAAACCACTCTGCAACCATTTCCATTTGACCTCAAACATGCCGTCAAATTTTTCTTCACTCGTTTCCCTTTAAGGTGGCTACACGTCCTATCGCTCTTTCTAGCAACATTCTACATGCACTCTACTTTTAGTCTGTAGCCAGTGTTAGTACGTAACTTCTAACCTCTTTGTAAGATCCTCATTTTGGTCTAAGACACATAAAACAAACTGCTCAGAGCTGCTCACAGAGCAGCAGCAAGGCAGAGGTTATGGATCCTGTAATTAGCGCTTGCCTCGAGGGGGCACTGGGACAAAACACATGACTCAACACAGAAAAGGGGAGCAGTAAGAGCTTGACTTGTTGCAGGCAGTAAGTACATAGCGTTGCTGTGATGCTGTCCTTGGTTGTAAGTGGTCCTCCAGAAAGAGCGATCCCCCCACCTTCTCCTGCTTTACACCAGCGCAGGCCTGAGCTGGTTTCAGAAACATCTGGAACTGGTCTCTGTGATAGCTCTTTGGGGAACATGGAGGCGTTCCTGTAGCCACAGGCTGCAGCAGGGGGGAGCAGTGTTGAGGGGGGTACAGTCAGAAAAAAAACAAAAAAACAGCAATCATCCTCTGGAAAGGTAAGAAAAGGGAATGGGAAGTCCATTCGTAGTGTTTTTATTTGGTTCCACCTGGTCTTTAAGTCTTTAAATTAGGGAAATTCCAACGCAATATGTTCCTTCATGTCTTCGGTGGGGGTGGGTGGGGTGGAGGGTTGGGGGGGGTTACAGGGTGGTGTTGGGGGTGAGGGGGCTGTACAGCCAGGCCCAGTGCATTTCCCCATTTTGTGTTTCTCAAATGAGGTAGGACAAGGTTCAGTCACTTGTTCAACCATCTGAAGCTCCACAGGTTCAGTCTTGTCGGCAGGAACAAAAAAAAAAAAAAAAAAAAATCACGTGGGGGCAACACAATGGGTCGAGCTCAGAGCGGGGCGGGGGGGGGTCCACACGGATAAATCCTGGCCTTCTTGTCAGTCACTTCTCCAGCAGCTGCTTCCTCTGCTGCTCCCACAGGGCCTCCAGGTGATCCGCCCTCTTCAGCGCAGCCTATCAGAGGAGAAGGTGATATTTATACATGCCTGTCAATCATCTCGCCACAGCTGTGTTTTCTTGTTTATCATGATCTGACACAAAGCGGCAGTCTCTCACCTCGTGCTGCTTCCGAAGATTATTGACAGTTTCTTCCTTCTTCAAGATGGCCGACTTCACTCTGGTAAATCACAGAAAATAAAAATGTGAGCGCTTGATTCGTCGCTTTCACTTATTATACTGCTTACAGAGACCCAACTTTTCCCACCATGAGCAAACAGCTGGTGACAGTGGCAAGAAAACTTTCTTTTAAGAGGCAGAAACCTGGAGTAGAACTGGGCTCAGGGCGGGCGACGATCTGTCTCGACCATAAATACGAGTATGGTTGAAGATCAAAACCAACAATGAACTGATCCTTCTAACAGGTCTTAGGTGTGTGTGTCCACAGCCTAACCCATAGAGCTCCATTATTTCCCAAAACAATTAACAACACATCAGTGAGTCATACTGTTGCACTGGGTGACATGTTCCTTCACCACCATGAACAGAACAACAGAAAGTTACAACATAAGATAATGTTTTAAAAAATAATGTGGGAAAACTTTGTGGCAACAGTTTGTTTTTGTCTCTTTCATGTTTCGACATGTCAGTGCTCCTGTGCAGAAAGTCAGCTCTGTAAAGAAGCTTTTTCCTCGTTTGGTCTGGAAGAACTTGGCTGATCTGCACAGAGCTCTGACCTCGACCACATACAACACTTCTGGAAACTGGAACGCAGATGGTGAGCCAGACCTCGCCACCCAGCACCAGTACCTGAACCGGAGTGTGCAGTCAAATGCTCAGGTGTCTATGAACTTTTGGCCATGCAGTGTTGGTGCCAAACAACCAGCTACAATGAAAAGCCCTCTGCTCAGATGATCTCCACGTTGATATTAATCAGGTCATCTTCAGGATTACTCCAACCCTCCATTCAACTCATATTTCTCCTCCTTTACAAACTGGCAGATCTTAAGTTTCCACCTTTTATTCATTTTGAACTGTGGCTTTAAACTGTGTGCCAACGTTCCCGTTCACACCTCGAACAGAACAAGGAAGAAGACAGTCACTCAACAATACTGGTGAAATGCGTGGAGACCGCCACCGACCTAGATCCTGATTTCTTCCACACACAGAGAGCGTTTGAGTGTCTGCAGATCAAGTTTTGTCTTTGTAACTTCCAGACGTGTCAACTTGTGACCTCAGTTCATCAAACTGCATCTTGTAACATATCTCCAGTTACAAGTGGCATATTATTACCCTTCAATAGCAGCTATAAAAATGTCTAACTTAGACTTATGTCACATCTAACAGTCTCTTACCGTTGATGGACTTCAGCCAGCTCCTCCTCCTTCTCCCTAGTGACCCTCTCCACCTCCAGCCGTAGCCTTGCCCTGACTTCTGACACCTCCACCTTCATCCTGCGGTTCTCCTCCTCCGTCATCACCAGCCGGTCGGCAAACTCCTGCCTTACCACCTCCGCCAGGCTGCGGCGCTCGTCCACCAACTTGTCCCTGGTCTGAGAAGACGAGTCAGACAAATTCAAGTGGAATCTATCTCAAGACGTTTTGTCCACTTTTCAACAAGTGTTTCCAAATGACGGGGATTTGCTCCTCACCTGTGTGATGTCCTCAACCTCCTGCTCTTTCTGTCTGAGCAGGGCCTGAAGTCTGATCAGCTCTCCCTCCGTATCCATCTGCTGCTTCCTCAGCTCTTGCTGTTTCTCCACGGCCGTCCTCTCCGAGCGCTCCAGCTCCCTCAGCTCGGCCTCGTATTTTCCCCTCACACGCTTCACTCTGAGAACAGTGTGTGTTACAGGTTGGTGCTGATGCTGACTTGTGATGAAGCCATTATTCACACAGAGGAAATATTGTCACACACACACACCTGTTGTCAGCAGCCCTCTCACACTCCTCTTTGTCCTTGCTGGTCTCCTCCTCCAGCGTCCAGATGGCGAGTTCGATCTCTTTGTCACGCTCTCGCCGCAGCTCGTCTTTGAGCTCACGCTCGCGGCTCAGCAGCCACGCTTCCTGCAGACACACAAACACACGTTGTCTGTCTGGGCTGCTTTTTCCAGCATTCACACATATATACACACATATGCACATAAAAAAAAGATCATGTACATCCTCATTGGTTAATTCTTCACTTCTTAATCAACATCTCTACAGTGGACGTTCCTGCCTATGTCACTGACTAACAGAGGTTGTGTTTTTCTAACAACTCCTGACTCAGTGAGTCCACTCTTCCTCAGAACATGTGATCTACACCCTCAGGGTTTCCTTCCAATGACACTGCTGAACTCCAGACAGCTGGAATTGTGCCACCTGCTAAAGTCACTACATTGGAAAAAGATTGTGAGCAGAAAAGTTCAGCTCTTGTTCTATTTAAGTTTTACACTAGATATCTTACATTTCCCCTGAAATAGGAATGACTAGATGCCTGCAGGGCACAGAGCACAGAGCTTTATATTTACATGGTATTTAGTGGTTTCTTACACATCACTGTGGACAAAAGAAGGGAGCTCCGAGAGCAGATAAAGCTGCATAGCTTCATGCCAGCATATCAACCAACCTCTTTTTTCTTGTAGTTTTCTTCCCAGGTTTGCTTTTCGATATCCAGACGTTCTTGCAGCGCCTTCATCTCCACCTAGTTACACAAACAACACTCTATAAGCTTGCTAGAAAAACTTAAAGGTGCAGTTACTGGACAGAGTAGTGAGACAGCAGGCTGGAAGAGTCTGTTAAAAGTCTGAGGTGAATTATTTTTCTGCTCAGTTCTCACCTGGTGTCTCCTCTCCTGCTCCTCTCGGGTTTTGTCCAGCTCCTCTCTGAGGGCTCGTCCAGCCAGAGAGCTGTTCTCCTCCAGCTGCCGCCGCAGATCCTCCAGCTCGGCTCGCTGCCTGCAAGACAAACACAAGACGATCACTGACAAGGAGAAACACAACAATCCCGACATGCATCATCTGTAAAAGTACAGTAGACTTTTTGGACAAAGCTAAAGCTGCAACTGCAGACAGGAACGCTGCAGTCAGCATTATCAATGTGGGATGAAAAAAATATGAAAGGCTGCATTTATTGGGGTGTTACTAAGTGTGTAAAATGTCCTGTGTTCCAGTACAAAGTTTGCATCCAAATACATACACAACATTCACAAGATCATAACATTCCATCATGTTAATGCTTAACCTTTGGTTCACACTGGCTCAAGCTGTTTTTGTTACTTTAATGGCTTTTAACAGATTATTGGCAGCTTATTTCATTCTTCTATCTTCTAAAGGTCACTCCTTTAGCAGCTGAGCAGCTGTAATAAATTTACAATTGTAGTGGGTGTTCATCTTCAGGGAAAAAAAAAAAAAATCTATGTTCCCTGCAGGATTGAAGGGGAGACACACACACTCTCGCAAATGGGAATGTTATTGTGTGACAAAAATGTCTAACCTAGAGGCTGTTCCAGAACAATGAATCTTCAAGGTTGCTTCTCAGCAGTGTGCCAGCATTGCTGAACTAGACTGGAACACTGTTTCCTATAGATGGGCTGTACTTGGAGCCCAGGTAGATAAAATCACTCAGTTTCAACCTAACGTCTTATTTCACTCTTTTCAAACTAACTACACGCCTGTCTGTTGTGTATGCTGCAGTAACTGAGTGTGAGAGACGCTTGTCTGTGCACGGCCCCAGAGCTAGCATCTACCAATATCCTGCATTTGAGGCGTTTAGGGGACATCTGTAAATTATAGCTACAGAAAATATCCTGGGTTACACTCTCTCAGTCTAAACTGCACGAGTCTATGCATGCACACCATCCACCTCGACAAGTACATTTTCAACCTGTGGGAAACAGTGTGGAACTTTAACAATGGACTTGATTTTCCACTGATTCACTCTGTTATTCTTGGGACTATAATGAGGACAAAGCACTGGAACATTCTGCACCAGTCTTTTCTGGAGCTGTCTCTGGTTAAGATGGATGGCTCTGGTTTATGTCTTCACATTCTCACTGCAGAAAAAAGATGAGGCGGATGACCTTTGACCTCACCTCGCAGCCAGCTCGGCCAGCCTCTCCTTCTCCTCGGCCACCTCCTTGTAGAGACGCCTCCTCTGCTGCTGCAGGGACAGCTCCTCCTCCTGAAGCTGCTTCTCATATCTGACACATAAACAAAAAAAGACACACTCATCACATTCAGGCTGCTAAAATTAACATAAACAATAATTATGACACACGGGCAGAGCACACAAACAAGTGACTAATTAACGAACGTCTGCGAACAGTCTTTCATCTGCTACACTCATTAACTCTGACAGTATGTTCCCTCATGTGCAAACTGCAAAGCCTCTCTCCTTCTCTCTGTTTGTCTCCTCTCTCCTGCCTCGCAGAACAAGCAACACGACTTCAATGCTTCCAAAAAAATAGTGATGAAAAGGAATGTCGAGTAAACTGCAGTGACTGAAGATCATCTCTCACAGGTTTTAATGCATTAAGCTCAACAAAGGCTGCTCGCTTTTTAGATTTTTCACTTTGAAGCTGCTTTTCTTTCAGCTTCTGACTGAAGGAGCTGAGTGACTGAGTGGTTGGATGTGTTATAATCTTGCATCCAGTTGTAAGATGCCAACTACTGTATGTATTGATACATTTCTTGTAGTGTTTGCATATTGAATAATGTCCATAAAGATACAATTCTCAAAGAAAGGGCAGAGGAGGCCGGTGGGAGTAGTGATGATGTGACTTGCCCACCTCTGTTTGGCTAGCTCCCTCTCTCTCTGACACTGCTCCTCCTTCTCCTTCTCCAGCTGTTGGCGGAGCTCCTCGCACTGACGGACGTAGCGCTGGGCCGCGCGGTCGTCCGCCTGCAGCAGCTCCGCCTCGTGGAGCGTCCGCAGCTTCTTCAGCTCCTGTTTGTGTTTAGAGATCAGCTTCTGGATCTCTGGCTCCAGACCTGAGGGAGGAAGAGAAAACAGTTCATGATCTGTGGCTGAAAAATGTTTCACAGCTCTGTCTGTCAGAGCTGTCAGAGCTGTCAGAGAGTTTTATTTTCTATATATTGGTGACAACAAAACTAAGTAAACAAATACAAACCAATCTGAATTCAAATCTGGAGCTGTGACTGTATAAACACCTCATCAGCACTGCCTGGCAACTGTCTGTGACTATTCATGGACTCAGCTCATCACAGGCAGGAGAACGAAGAACAAAATGGTAAGTTTCTGGAAACTGAACTGTACCCTCTTTGTTCATGTTGCCTTTAGCGAGCCAGAAAAATGCCCTGGGTCAAAAGCTAGATACAGAATAATTACTGAATATAGCTTTGATACAGTGCATCTTTGAGGTGGTTGGCATAGTAACTTCTGGAAGATGAGAGGTGCTACAGAGCCAACGGGAACGCTGAAAAGAAGCTGAAACTATGTCAGCTGAAACATCCAACGGCTTGTGATAGATTTCATGAGAAGACTCTGACAGTCTTTCAATGTGACATCTTGTAAATGTTTGATATGAAGGTCTGATTAAGCCTTTAAATCATTTTGTTTGTTGCGTCCACACTACTACGTTTTCATTTTAAAATGAAAACGATCTTCATCCAGACGAACATTTTAACCCCATATCAGAAAAGATCTCTGTCCTGAAAACACTTATCACATGACCATTCACATATATTGGGTATGCTCATGCTGGTTTAAACAGGAAGCAGATTGTTTACTCTGCAGTTGGTCAGCTGCAGAAAATAAAACAGGGAACAGCAGAAAATGCAGAATTTAACTGCACAATGGCTGCTAGACAAGACAACAAGGTCACCAATGTTTATAATTCATTATCATGTTGTATCCACCACTGTTGGGGTCTACTTCGTCGTTTCCAAAGATCTTTGTTTCTCCAATTACAGACTCCTTTTAAGGGGCTCGAAAACTCCAGAGTAGTGTGGACGTCAGGCAAAAGAGATGTGTTTTGTGTGTGTGGATGTAGCCTAAAAAGGACCACAGGTAAAACCACCAGTGGATGAGATTATGCCACATTACTGCCACAGATTACCCTTGTGTAAAAAGTACGGTGTATAAAGGTTTACTTGATAAGAGCACATGGGAAAAGTTCCCCTTAATCACAGTGGAATTACACAAGTTTTGCTTCATTATGCTCTTATCTTAATGAAGCTTCTGTTAAGGATGTTTTAATCACATATTTCTGCTCCAAGCTACGGCTCCGACTACACTACCTTTGACGGTGATCTCTTTGATCTTCTTGGTTTTCTCATCAATCCATTTCTCCCGGCGGACCTTCTCTGTGGCACTCATTAGGTCTTTTAACTTCTTGATCTCCTGTGGGGGGAGGGTAGAGGGTTAATAATGGTGGGAGTGAAAACAACACCAAACTCAAGGGACATTTATTTATCGAAAAATCCACCTATGTAAGAGGAAGAAGAGAAGAGTGGAAACAAATTCTGGGCAAGACAAACGACTTCATAACATAAAGCAATAAGAGCTTTATATCTAAATCTAGAGATGAGAAGAGACTGAGGGGACTCACATGCAGAGACACTGTCCAAGAGAAGATGCGTGGGACAAACAAATGAAATGAGAAAGGAGTGGCGGAATGAGAGAGAGGTGATCATGTCAGGGATGACCGGGTTAGAGGAAAAAAACAAAGTTACCTCGCACAAGGGACCCAGAATTTGCCACACCTAAAGCCAGGAAAAAAACAGATCCACAGACGAGGACAGAGAAAAAGGCAGTGAGGAAGGAGAAGAAGGAGAGAGGGAAAAACAGAGAGAAGACAGTTAAACAAAAGCAGCACGACACAAGCAAAAAGAAAAGCAAGATACAGTCACACAGGAGGCAAAGCAGAGGCAGTGAGAAAATAACAAGTGTAGATGTAGATTCTTAAATCCCCACAGAAACATTCATGTCGCGACGCCACTGGTGTGAAAATCTTGGCCATCTCACCATCTCATGCTGCTCCTGCATTTGTGCGATCTTCTTGGTGTATTTCTGGTCCACCTGCTTCAGCTCTCCCACCACTCCTTCACAGCGCTCACTCAGAGCCTTTTTATCATTGATCAGCTGGAGGGAAAGAGCACGTTTTTAAACCACAGGGGAGAGAAAGTGAAGAAGAATCTGAATGTTTTGAAGGCAGGTGGCAGCAGGAATTAGACTGTGTATGTACACCCACCTGATCAATGAATGTGAGGTGTCTCTGGATGGTGGCTTCATATTGTTCCTTCTGGATCTGGAAGTTTCTGCCCAGCTCCTTCTCAGTCTCCTTCACGTGTCTCACCGTCAGCTCCCTCTGCTGGGCCTGATGGACAGAGGATGAAGAAGATGAGCAAACACGAAGGGGCCGAAGGAGGCCAACAGCTTCTCTCTACATTCGAATTTACTGTGACACGTGTTCATCTCCCCACCAGTGCGGCCTGCAGCATGTTGACGGTGCGTTTCTTCTCCTCCAGCTCCAGCTTGATTCTCATCATGGAACCGGTGAGTTCGGCGGCGGTGGCCGACGCCTGCTCAACACCAGCCAGCTCCTCCTCAGACAACACAGCCTGAGAACACAAACATCCAGTCAGCACACGTCGCAGGATTAACATAATCTGACACCTGACAGATCTGGGTTGACTGATGATTATTTATCTATGGGGGAAAAAAAAAACACAATACTTTCTTGTACATCAAGACAAAGAAATAAAAATTAGTGTCAGGATTGGCAAAAATGTGGAGTCTGACAGCTCTGTAGTGCTGCCACCATAATCACAAAATCAGACTGAAGACCCTGACCTCTCTGTGTGACCCTGAGGTGACCGAGCGAGGTCTCTCCTGTTCAGATTTTTCCATCTCATCCAGGAAGCTCATGATGCTCTGCAGCTTGGCCTCAGACAGCAGGGCGCCCCCGTCTGGCAGAGCAGGGTGGTGGCTCAGCTGCCCGTGGCGCTCCAGGTTGTCAGTGGTCAGAGAGTTGGAGTCTCCGTCCTTTAGTGAGAGACGGTGGGAAGGTTGGTTACAGACAAGTCGTTAGTGGTTCATGGTTTCTTCTTGCACAACATAACTAGGAAATTAAAACTGACCTCATCTATCCAGGCGTATTTATCTTTGCGGTAGCACTTGGGCTCTGAAAGCCTCTCTGGCTCCTCCTCCAACAGCTTCAGAGTGTCCAGCAGCTCGTTGAGCGTGGTTTTAGACTGAGCCCTGCTGGACAACGCTCCCTGCCGCTGGTCCTCCACACTCACTGACCTCTGCAGAGTCTCCTAGATCACAGACATAACAAACATAACAACAGGACCAAACATAAGAACTGCTTTCATGTTTTATGCTGGTAAAACTTCAAACCAGTGACTTTGATCATTTCAGTGCAGTTTGAAGTTTTCAGTTATTTACCTGGGAACAGTGAGAACCTCTGCGATTGGACAAAGCTGGGGAAACGGCTCTGAAACTGAGCTCTCCTAAGTCAGTCACAACATTCAAATTCGTGTCTGTGGAAATATTTAACCAACAGTTATTACAGGTTTCTCTCACATCAGAAATGCTGCACAGTATGAGTGAGCAGGGTCATATAATTCTACAGATTCAAACAGACCTGTGTTCTTAGTTTTGATGTCTGTGGGTGACAGCGGGCTGTTGTTGCTCGGTGACGCTGGGCACCTGTTGGTCAGGGAAATCCTGGGCGGCTTCTTGCGTCCAACCACACCGCTCTGCCTCGGGCCTTCTGCCTCCACCTCAGCTGCATGCTGCACCTCTGCAACCCGCTGAACTCTTTTCTGCTGCAGCTCCTGTAGCACACCATCGGAGGGAGACATTACACAAACTGAGTGTGATGTGACGGCTACTTTAGAAACAATGCTTCAACCCTGGCTTAATGTACGTACATCAGATGTGTTCACCTGGGAGGCAGCGAGGCGGGCCAGACGAGCTTTCTCTTTCCGGATCAACTTCCTGTCGTTCTCTTGGTGCTGCTGCTCCAGGCAAATATCTTCCTCTGCTCTGTCCTCCTGCTCCTTCAAGAGAAAATCAATTGTTTTTAAAATCTGAGGAGAAAAGTGGAGATAATGAATGAAGGAAGCAGAGCTGAGCTGAGCTGTGAAGACAAGACTTATTTACCTGGGAACACTGAGAGCCTCTAGGATTGGACAGAGCTGGAGAAATGGCTCTGAAGCTAAGCTCACCTAAGTCGGCCACAATGTTCAAATTGGAGTCTGTGGAAACACATAAACATCAATAAATCAATTATCAGTTCACTTGTCAGATCTAACATTTGTTTAGTAACCTTGAGGTTATAGTACCAGGTATCTGAAGTTAGAAAGACCAAGTGCTAAGACATACAGACCTGTGTTCTTGGCTTTGACGACTGTGGGTGACAGCGGGCTGTTGTTGCTCGGCGATGCTGGACTTTTGTTGGTCAGGGAAATCCTAGGCGGCTTCTTACGTCCAACCACACCGGTCTGCTTCAGGTTTTCCAGCTCCACCTCAGCTGCATGTTGCACCTCTGTAACCCGCTGGGCTCTTTTCTGCTGCAGCTCCTGTAGCACACCACCAGAGGGAGACACAAGACAGTGTTGAAGACCGTATTGATCCAGAGAAATCATCCACACAGAGGCTAGATTCAAATATTTAAATCATGATATAATTTGCACTACATGACACATATCAAGGACTAAAAATCATACTCTCTGTCTCTGTTGCATATGTCTCTGCAAGTCTCCTAAACTTTATGGAAGTGCAATAAAGTAGATCAGAGGTGGGCACCTGGATGGCAGCGAGGCGGGCCAGACGAGCTTTCTCTTCACGAATGCGTTTCCGGTCTTCGTCCTTTTTGTGCTGCTGCTCCAGGTGACTGTCCTCCTCTGTTCTCTCCTCCCACTCCTACAAGGGGACAGACACAGACAGTGTTAATACAGTAGCATTAGAAAGACAGAGATAAACCTGTTAAGACCACAGAGAATAAAAGTAAGACAGTAAGGCAGGCTGGGAATAGATGGATACCTTTCTTTTACTGGCAAGGATACGTTTGAGCGCTGCTTGGTTTGTGTGTTGTCTCTTAGCATTGCGTCTGTACCAGCGCTGGATAGTGACTGCTGCCTGGTTCACCTGCTGGATAAACCTTCAGATACATAATAGAACTACTATGAGTCACAGAACAAATAAACAAAGAACATGAACATCAATAAACCAGGTAACAAGTAGAAACACTATGGAAGCCGCCCTCTGAAACAGTTTAGTGTGTCTGACCTTTCTGCCTCCTCCTCAGTGACCTCCCTCCTTCGAGGCAGCACCGGGCTGCCGCGCTGGGCCGACACTGGGGATTTGTTGTTAGAAGTGGATGACGTCGAGGAGAAATTCTTCTGAGACTTAGTGACGGAGCCGTTCTCCAGTGACACCTCATCATTTGCTGTGGCTTTGAGGATGTTACTAAGAGAAAATACGATTGAAGACACAAAATCAGATGAGGTGGTTCGCAATAAACAACCAGATCGTAAAACAGGAAGTATGACTTGAACAAACTGTGATATTTTGGAGGCAGGCAACACTGATATCAAGCAGTTTTTCATTATGGCTGATATCAACTTATTATATTGGCTTAAGAAAATTCTTCAAAATGAATTGTGTTAACTTCAGGGCTTACTTAAAGGACGGCTTCTGGTTGGAGCTCTTGGGTGTGAGAGGTTTCTCAGAGTAGTTGTTGTGTAAGATGGTGGTGACTGAGTTCCCCACAGCTCCCTTGTTGCTCCTGGGAAAAACAAGATGGCACCATGACACTCTGCAGGAGACAGTTCTCATGCGCTGGCATCTGTGTCAAGTAGTGACAATGCTACTGCCATCTATTTCAACTTCACCCCCCCTCAAGGCTTTGCAGCAGCTGATACTGTTCATGCTTTGACACAAATTCTTACCATAATACAAACTCAGCCCGCACTGTTTTTTTTTCTACATAGAGGAAAAAGTCCAAGTGTGTGGGTGGAATTCCTGAAGGCAGTATCAGCTGCCTTGATCACCAGGTATGAAACACGAGAAGCAGGTAGAAATCCAGAATGCAGCAGCACAGGTATTTACTGGGCTGGTGTAAGTTTTACCTGGACTGTGTGTGTGTGTGTCTGTGTGTGTGTATGTGTGTGTTTGAGAGACGCTGCCCACCTGTTGTTGGCAGTGAAGGTCGCAGCCAGAGCAATGCCAGGCTCTCTTTTCTTTAGGCCGGTGGGAGAGTCAACACTGCCGGTGCTGCGGGAGCTGGAGTGAGGGGGGAAAGCTCTGGGCTGATCGTCCTTAAAGACAAGAAACATTGAGTTGTTGCATAATCTGATATCACTGAGCTACTGTGTAATTTGACACATTTGAGAAGTATTCAATGTTTAGGAAAGGAAGAAAAGTGTTTGGTATCCACCACGATTACATGATTAATCAATCGACAAAACTTTTTTGATAATTGAATTGTCTTATTAAATAAATTCTTTAAGCTAAAATACAAATACTTGCTGGTTCCAGCTTCTCATATGTGAGGATTTGATGCTTTTCTTTGTCTTACATTGAACAGTGAACTGAATATCGTTTTGTTGGTCAAACAAAACAATACATTTGAAAATGTCACCTTTGGCTTTTATATTATATATATAGTTGGTATTTTTCTGTATATTTCTGACTTTCTTTAGACATAATAAATTAAAGAATCTGCAGATTAACTGACAATTAACAGTCCTATGCAAAACATTTGAATATTACAATAAAATGCTCTTTAATTCTGCTTCATATTCACTACACACAGTTGATATGATACCATATGCAAGAATACATAAATCTAAAGAGATGACAAACAAACAAATGTAGTTGGTGATAAATACCAGGATGTTCCATGTGGTTCTGTCTGGGGAGGCCTTGCTGAGGCTGGCCAGTTTCTTGCGTCCATCAGAGCTGCTGTCAAACAGGGCCAGGTAGTCCTCACTCTGGTCCTGACTGAGGAGCACACAAGCCAGTCACAGGTTAGGGCCATATGGCACAATACTGCACGTTACCTTTTACCATTAAATCAAATGATCATTGGTGAGAAATTACAGAAATCTCAAAACCTAGAAACTATTTACATGCATAGATAAAACTGGAGGAGGAATTTTTAAATATTTTTTGCAATTTGGTTGAACTGAACCGTGGAAGCTGTAAGCCAGCAAAATAATTTCAAACCTGCCCTTATAAGTGGGAGGAGGGGGGAAGGCTCAATTTTCACATAACAAGGGCTTAGCAGTGCACAACATGCAATTAAACAACTCGACACAAAGCGGGGAGCTCGAGTCATGGCTTTTAGTGGCAGCTTTTGTGATTAAATGTTGTAATGACAGCTGCAGAAATGGGTCTCATCCTTGTCTGCCCCCCCCCCAAACACTGGAATTCATGAAACAGCAGCTGATGGTCTGTTAGGGAGAACTCTCGTCCTGGATTCCATGTGAATGTGTGCACACATATGTTGATCCCCCATGGCCTGTCATTCATCCTTCAAATAGCCTTACACACCAGCACCTCCACCATGAGGCACAGATGTAGGCTGACCTCCTGTCTGGCCTGGCCTCTGCTGGTATCTGTGCTGCAGCATGCCTGTGCTGTGCAGGGTGTTTCTGTCTGAGTAAGTATATAAATGAGCGTGTGTGTGTGTGTGTGTGTGTGTGTGTGTGTGTGTGTGTGTGTGTGTGTATGCGTGCGTCTTCCGGGGGGAGGTCAAGCCAGCTGGCCCAATGAAAAGCAATCTGACAACACTATTCAGGCAGCACATTCCTCTACTTTTTGCTTTACAAGAGAGTGATGCATGGAGGGGAGGAGGCAGTAGGGAGGGAAGGGGTGGTGAGTGACCCAATGACAGCCCTAAAAGACTCTGAGCCTTGGAGGGGGTATTGGGGGCATTTAAAATGTCTTTAAATTTAAAGCCCCTTTGCTCTGCATCCTCAGAGGCAGAGAGGGGAGGGGTGGTGGTGGCAGCTGCCGGACAATAGAACCAGAGTGTGCACACTTCTCTTTTCACTGGCTCCTGTTGGAGGGGGTAACCTGACCCCGAGGTCCTAGCCCCCCCCTTCTCCCTCTAACCTGGGACAAAGCAAGTCCCTGCACCCCGCGACCCTAGCAACAGCCGCCCAGCTTCCCGCTACTCTTTATCATGCAGGAGCTGGCGCGCCACAATTCCCATTGTCTGAAGTGCTGAGGCTTCAGGACTGCCAGCTGTTGCTCACTGAAGAGCAGCAGCCTGGTTTAAAGAGCTTCATGCGACAGGGCTGAGCCATAGACATTGTTCCTGGTAACATGAGCACTGCTTCCAGACTGTCTGATGAACATTATCTGAAATGCACACATTCTTTTATGTCACTTCCAAAAACACAACCTTCATATTTCAGCAGTATGTATGCTGCTGTAAAGGTCATTTGACGATCTAACTGAATCTTAAGAGCAAGTTTTGCCTGAGGCTTTGCAGACTACATGTATCAGCACATACTGTGCTATATGCAGTTTAGTGTGTCAATGTCAGTGATAAGGAGCAAGGAAAATATGTTTGACCCAGAGAAATAAGAAGGCATACTGATTCTCAATAAAATATGTGTTGTCTACTTGGAAATATGTTACAAGCACAAATAGCTCCGGTGTTATTACATAAGCAGCGGGTGTGTATGTATGTACATAGGTATGTGTGTGTATGTGTGTATGTGTGTTTATACCTTAAACTAATATTGGCCTGCTGATTGACCTGAGTGGTGCTGTTGGACCTCCTCAGGTTCTTGATGGAGCGGGAGCTACCAAAGCCGGCATCGCTCTGTGGAGTTAAAAGGTTTGTTAAAGAGTTATAATATTTGTTTGCAAACATTAAACACTTGGTATCAAGTAGAATTCTGAAGAAGAAGAAGACAGTGCTGATTTGCTCATCCCTGCATCTTGAATAGATTATCTGAAAACTCATAAACAGTCTGCAGCTCCTTTCTATTGCCAGCACAAAAGTACACATGTGGCAGTGCACAGTTACTCACCAGGGTGTTGCGTTTCCCTCTGCTATCACTGGCCACAGAAACCGACACAGAGCGAGAGAAGTACTTCCCAGGTGATGCACTGCTAGGTCTTTTGGACATTGAAAGCTGGGAGCCGGACAAGCTGAGGTCCAAGGCATCTCCTGAGACACCTGTCGAGATGGACGATGGTCCACGTGTTGTATGCATCCTTTGAAAAACCTGGAATGGTAAGAGTAAAAATGGACTTGGATATAAGACACAGTGTGTCACACAAGCTATTTCCCAGGAGATTCAGCGGACACAACCATAGCAACACAGGAAATAACAGCCACTTTCCCCCGACTGTTTTGTCTCCCAGGGTCACCAACAACAAAACCACTCACTATTTTTACTACAGCTGCAACTCCACTGACACCAGTAGAAACTAACAGCACATACTGACTATGCTTCTGTGTCTTAACCAAGCCAGTTAATTAATAAAACCCTTCATAAAATACATTGTTGCTGAGGCAATGAAGTAACAGCACGCTGGCGTTGCTAAGGTGTAAGCCAAACATAAGGTTAACAGGTTTCAAAGCAGCTCTCCCGACAACATTTTACTATCGCTGTTATACTGTGACAGGTGTATGTTAGTTCTGTTAGCTAATCTTATCATATTCCCATCACAATAAACAAGCTTGTGAAGCATGACAGGTATGATACATATCGTTACTTATAAAACAGCGCTGGGAAAAAAAACAGTTGTCGTCAACTACGTTAAGGTTACAACATAATAATACCCGCTAGCTAGCTACTGTTACAGTAAGCTAACACAGCTATTACACTGATGCTAAAGGTAAATGTAGTCCTAACCTTAGTAACGTTACCTCGTTGAACGAGACAAATGATTCCAAACTGATGCAAACTGGGATGTTTCGTAACGAAATACGATAACTCTTGCTTACACTGATTTGTTAAATCACCGCCTCGGCTCAGAAAGCACACTTAGTTAACGGTAATATATCTGTCCTAATATAAGTTGGCTCTAAAGAGGAATAATATCGGTTGTTTTTCAAATTAAGTCTTGTCAAAACCAGCATTTCTAGCTAACTGTTAACGCATTTAAGGTTTCTCCCATCAAGACCAAAAAACGTTGCCTGCCGAACCAGCAAGTTAGCGTTAACTACTTACCTCAGAAGCTGGATGGTAACATTGCTGATTAACTGTAGTACGCTTTCACGGTGGAGTTTTAATTCCCAACACAATCCTCAGATGCCCAGTGAAAGTATTCCGTTGACTCGGTGGACAAATACGGAGAACCGTAATAACGCGGAACATCATCTCTGAAGTAACAACACAGATTATCTCCGCCTCTTGTCGTCTGTGGTTGGTGCAGAGAGAGCGCTGTTTTTTTATTCGCGCATCTGATAGGCTGGGAGGAGCTGTCCGTCTAGTGTCAGCTTCCAAGGGGCGTGGCTCAGGCAACCGTTTGGTTGACTTTGCAAAGGGAGGCGTGATAGCAGAATGACATTTTTCTTTGCATTTCTCCACGTTCCCACTGTTGGGAAACAATTCCACAGGAAAACAAGACAAACAAGCTCCAGTTTACCCATAGTTTATTTATTGACTGTTCTCTGACACCTCATTAATAGATTGAACAAACATAATAAAAAAATAATAAAAAAACACTTTCTCACTCATTTGGATCTTGGAATAATAATTTTAAACAGGACCCCTCTTGCCATCCTTGTGGGACCCCAGACTGAGAGACTCTACAAAATGCCATTGACCATAAACCATTGTGTCTCTTTTATGTACAGTACATTCTTAATTCTTTGTAGTCATTTTGTGTCTCTTTGTACTCACTAAGTGTCTCTTTACTGTTTTGTGTCTGTTTGTGATTGTTTTGTGTCTCTCAGTAATTGCTCTGCATCACTTTGTGGTCATTTTGTGTCTCTTGGTAGATGTTTGTGTCTCTTTGGTCATTTTGTGTCTCTTTGTAGTTGCCTGTGTCTCTGTGGTCATTTTGTGTCTCTTTGTGGTTGTTTTGCCTCTCTCTGGGATCATTTTGCATCTCTCTGGGGTTATTTTGGGCTTTGTTACTGAGAAATATTAACATTCACTTCATACAGAGGCTCTTGTCGCAAGGGCCTCCTGACCTGGTAGTTGTCCATCCATCTATGGAATGTATTTATTAATGAGAGCCTATCTTAATTCAGATATTCCCTTATGGACAGTAATAACAATAAAACACTTTATTCACAAATTATTCAGCTCTCTGTAGAAATAATTTATCTTCTTTTAAACTCCACAGCTGCCCTCCACACATCAGCTCCTTGTCCCAGTGTGATCTCCTCTGATAAAGACTCGAGCCCCAGCAGAGGTGGAAGGCCTTTCTCGTCCAAATGGATCTCTACGGTGTACCTGATGCTGTGGAGGGAGGGAGGGCATTTAGAACAGTTAGCACTGAAACCATTGTTTTCCCTACAAGCATTCCTATTCACTTTCCTGCCCAGCTGCTGCTTCAATACAAGTGACCTGTGGCTGAGGGGATACAACTTAAGCTCCTTTCCCCTGACAGATGGCGACCTGGAGGGGTCACGCTCTGGTCCTGGAAGTCAAAAGGCTCCAAATCCCAGGGGAGAGCCCTGGGTGAGACCTCCACACTTTACTCTGATTAAAGCTGTCTAGAATCAATGGATTCCTTTAGACTAGGGTGGTAATCTTTGAAGTGACAATAGGCACACTTCTTTCATTGATGAGCTTACAAAAAATTCTTATTTGTAAAAACACCCTTTGGGTAAAGAAGAGAATTCATGTCAATGATGCAAATGTTTTGGGAATGTTTTACCATTTGGTGCTTTGTCTCCTCCAAAAACTAAACTCACAAATGGTCAATTAGTTGTGTTTTCACTGTGAGGGGTGAATGCAAATGACTTGTGCTTACTCCCAGTGTGGATGGTAACCCTGGTCAGGCACGGCATTGCTGGTCTTCAGCAGCAGAATTTCATGCAGCTCCAAAGAGAAAGTGTCAACATCTGTGACAGCGAGGAAACCCTTCAGCCCTTTCCTCTGGTCCTCAGACAGCTTCTGCTGGAACTGTGAGGGGAGTTTCTGGAATGGGTCCTGAAAGACGACCATTAATTAAGTATAATCAGGGTTTAATTCACTTTTTGTATATCAAAAAAATAAATACTGCTGCTACAAATAATGCGCTTCATGGCAGAAACTGCGGCAAAGACAGAATTCCTTAAACCTAGTTCTTATTGGGGTCAAACTCTGAGCGCCCGCCGTGTCAGACGGCACACTTTCAACGGATTACAGCCCAGAAAATTTAACTCTGTGTGGTGTTTGGGGTCAGTCACTGGCAGCCAGCAGGGGTCACGAGTGATTATGTGGTCACCATGGGTGGAGTTCTTTCATGGATTTAGCATTTTTAAGACTGTAAAAAGGGGCCTCGCATATGCACAGTTCAAGTATTGTGACAAAATTTTACATCCAGTAAATTTCTGTTACATATTTTATGATTTTATTGATACTTACATGCTTTTTGTTCAGCATAAGCTCAGATTTCCAACAAGTCAGGAGTTGCCAGGCAAATATGCTGTGTTCCAGTTTGCTCTCTCCAAGACTCTAAAATGAAAATGAAAGTGATTAGTAAGGCATTAGAGGAGCCATACCATTGTTTTTTTTCGACAGCTCATGTATACTTTACATTTTAGCTGACCATTATTGAATGCAGGCTAAACAGTTTTTTTAAAGGTCCAATAGTAAAAAAAGTGAGATGTCCATGTGTTGTGTGATTATAAAGCAGGTCTAGGTTCTATATTAATACTGTGAAAGTATCAAAGCGCTCAGTCCACAGAGAAATGCACACAGCCTGTATTCAGACACTGAGCCTTAAAACAGCCGTCAGGACTTCCTGAACTTTGTGATGTCCTTTCATGTATTTTTTCTATAGGAGCCTTTGGTTACCATTCTTTTCTGTATGACAGACCTGAAACTTGATCGAGCTGTGTAGCCTATCACAGTGAATATCACAATGTCTGCAAAGTCACTGTTACATTATCGTTGCATGGTAATGCAGATTAGGTGAAAATTGAGTTTAAACATCTGAGTTACAAGTGTCTGGTAATAGATTTCCATATTTTACAGAAATCAATGGAAACCAAAGGATGTATTATGTTATGGTCCCTTAGACCTTTTATGTTACACAGCAGAAGAGAAGATTAGAGTCATAAACAGCTTGATTTCACTTATTTCATATTTTATATGTTTTATTAAAACTTTGTGTTTTTTATTGTCTCGAGTGTTCTGTGAGTGGAACTTTCATATAGACAAACAACAAGTAAGTGGCGTTTCGACAGTGCATTTCTCACAGAATGAGATCAACATGATCAAGTTCTTTGCACAGTGGTGTTGCAGTGGAAATAGCTGTGGGCCTGGAGGTTTGTACCTTGGCTACAGTGCTGGAAATCTGCCGGCGCATCTGCAGAGAATCAGTGAGGTAGGACGAAAGCTGACCCTGAGGATCACCGCCCGTCTTGCCGAGGTAGCGAAGGCCAATCTCCACCACATACACGGCTTCGCAAACATCTGTGTATGAACGCAGAACGGTTCTCATGGCGCTGCACACCGAACCCTTCAGCGGTTCCTGAAGTACAGACAGAGAAACTGAAACTGTCAGCCCGCCAGTGAGAGGGGTGTGAGGGAAGGAATTTGACCTCTAACAAAGTGGCCTCACAAAAATCCTACAGGGGAAACTAGTGTGAACATTCTTCAGCTGGCATTAGTCAGTTCCAGATGAAGATTTACCGCAGAATTGTAAAGTTCTTAAGTGAGTGAGTGAAATAGTTTTACCTGACGAATCTTTCCTCTGACCTCGGACAGAACCACAGAGAAATCCTGCAGGTGTCTGTTCAGGTATCTTGAGTTGTCCTGGTTCAGATCAAAGAGGATAAAAGTGCTGGTTAGCGGAAAGTTTGGTATTACCTGACATCTGCTGGCAGTTGTATGATTGGTTTTGATTCTTTACCGCTTGGATGATTGGTTTTCCAGCCAGGAAGCGGCGAGCCAGCTGGGTCTGGATCCCTGGCAGATCATAGCTTCTGTCCATCTCCCCACCTTTCTTCAAGGTGTAGTGACAGTGAGCTAGAACCAAAGGTAGCAGCTCTCTCTCTGGGTTGCACAGGGTCAGCTGGGTTTCCGATATCCTCTCCAACTGAACATTGTATTTACTGGGGGAATAAAACAGCACCATGTTTTCATAAAAAAGACCTTTTCATGAGCCTGAAGATTTGACAAAAGAATATCAGCTCTCAGGTCCACTTGTTCTCCACCTGCTCTGGAGCTTTTGATTATGTTACATAGTCTTCATCATCAGATTCTGTTTCTAAAATGGATCAACACGTAACATCAACTCAAACGGCTCAAAAAAAACAAACAAACAAATACATCGGGACCCCGTGTACTGACCTGTCCTCTTGGCAGCTCGCTCTCCTCGCTTCTCTCACCAGGCTGTTGTGAGTCTCCGACAGGAAGTCCACCAGAGTTCGGAGACACGACCCCGGTCCATGTCGGCACGGTGTCAGAAACTCCCCGGAGCTCTCTGCTGTCACCTCCTTCTTACACAAGTTCACATCCACACCCAAGTCTGCTGCTATATATACACGCACACACACAGGCAGGGCAGACGGTCAATGAAGACATACGGTGTAGGAGGCAGACATGGAGGACACCACTACTCACTGCTGTACACAGAGGTGTCAATCTCTGTCTTAACACATGTTCAACACACACAACTGTACATTACTACATTAGAGCTCAATGTGAATGGAGACATGCTTACAGTTTTTTTTCATCTCCTCTCTGAGGCAGTTCCACACTTTGATGAATCTCTCCACTCTCTCAAACAGCATCTTCTTCTGGTACCCTGATGAGGATGATGAGAAAACTTGTGTTAAGTGTGCGTCTGTTCATGTGTGATGGGTTTTTCCTTATTCTTTCACTGCTGCTGTTGTGCGTTCAGTTCTAAATGAAATATTGATGTACCTGCTGGTATGTGCTGTAGCATCTGTGCAATGGTCTGAGGTGCAGAGTCTGACGTCAGAGGAAACACCCGCAGCAGGTCTGACTGTAGAGCAGCCAGCTCAGGTAGGTGGTGTAGCTGTCTCACACAGTGTATCTGGGACACACACACACACACACACACACACACACACACACACACACACACACACACACACACACGCACACGCACACACACATACACACACACACATTGAATCAGGACAACGGTACAACTCCAAAAACAATACCCAAGAGACTCAAGGAAACAAGGGTTTTACATGTCGAGGAAACAAGACGAGGTGACCAGACTTTTATTTGTTGTAGGAGCTAAGTTCATTATTTTCTCGGGACATTTCAGCCACTCTGCCTCCCCCAAAAGTTGCAATATTCTCTGTCTGATATTTAGAACAAACCTCCAACACTACTCAACAGGTTTAAGTGAAAGTTTGGTGGAATATTAGGTCAGAATATTTAAGAATAGGCCACATCTTACAAACTGCCCTCCAATGTGACTGGTTTGTAAAACAGTTCTTTCAACACTTTGACAAAGTTCATCCAATCTTCAACAAATTCGCCCTGAAAAGCAAGTTTTTTTGTTAATTTTTTGCCAGGATCATATATAATTATATTATAATCATCAGGATCAAGTTTTTTTTTCATCTGTATAAACAACCTCCAAGAGGCAAGTTTTTTTTCTGGGAAGAAAGAAAGAAAGAAAACGAAAAAACGAAAAAATAAAGGATAAAAAGGATGCAGGAAAAAAACTAAATAATTCACTTGCCTCTCGGGGGTTCTGTAAGTTTGGCATGTGAAGATAAGCAGATAAAAAAACATCCTGTCAAATTTGATGAATTCTGAGCTAACAACATGATCTGATACTGAACCCCAAGTTGCTCACAATGTATCATCAGTTGTGAATGAGTGAATGTGACTTGTAGTGTAAAGCGCAAAGTCATTCATCACAAGTGCAGTGAATCTAGATGCAGGTTGAACGTTTCTAATCTTTTCTACTAAAATAAATGATCTATTTAAATAATTGTGGAGTCTTGGTGGAGTCATGTGCTCTCTGAGTGCTTCCTACTTTCACTATAAGCTGGACTCTTATTGGCTATTCTCCTCTTTAGGATGAATCTGTTGCTCTGACAGAAGATTGATCAAGAATCTTCACAGCGTCAGATCAGTATTTAAAACCTAAGTACATGAGCCTGATTTCATCCACTGTGTCTGCAGTCTTTGTCACAAAGGGGATTTAACATGATGTAGATGGGTACCTTCTTGAGGAACATGCTCAGCAGAGGTAAAGAGCTGCGTCCTTGCGCTTCTTCCACCAGCCGAGAGAATCGCTCCACTGTCATCATCTCAGGGAAAGTCCAAAAGGAGGAGCGGTGTGTTGGGCAGTCAGAGGGGAGGGACAACATGTTCCCAGGATCCCCGTGGAGTAGATTCATCAGGGGGCTTCCAGTAAGTCCATCAACAGCACGGATTCTGTCCGCAGCTTCAGCCAGAAGATTCTGCAGATTCTGACAGCAGTCGAAAGGAGGAAACAAGATTTTATCACCACGTAAGACAAAATGAAAATGTAACTGGTATCGATTCCAGATCATTTTCAACTATCCAACAGTGTATTTCTCACTTGAAGCACTGGGCTGATGGCAGAATCACAGACGAGCTTCTCCCACTGCTGCCGTCCTTGTCTGGAGGACAGATCAGGTCTTGCACCACGAGAACCTTTATTAACATTCAGCAGCGACAATGTCACGTATTTTCTACATGAACAACCGAAGCAGCACGCTGACTGAAAGTCATCAGTAAGTCAGTATCACCTGTAGTGAATCCTGCGCAGACGTTGAGAACCAAATGAACCGTAACAACCGCGTTGTCCTTGTTCTGGCTCAAAGTCTGCTCCAGCACACGCATGTCCTTCTCTAGGTGGCTCCACAGGAAGTTGAGAGCATGAATCGGCCTGGGGTGGATCATGTCTTCAACTCCCTACAACACAAAAACAACACAGGAGTATTATTACGTGATGCCGTCTTTTCAGTACCAGAGATATGTTAATGTCTTGTGCAGACTGAGGTGAAGTCTCACTCTCGGATTTCTTATGGTGCCTTGCAGCATGGCGAGGTGCGTCAGCAGCCGCAGGATGCAGGACTGAGCAGAAGTCATCTGCCTTTCAGGGGCCTCAGACCTCTGACCTGCCTCTCCTAACACGTGTCCTGTCCGAGTTTGATCTCTGACATTTTATACAAACCAGGAAGAAAACAAATTAAATCAAACACAATTACTTGACTGAAAATACACTGTCACAAAGCTGGTTGATTAAAGGTGCCATATTTTAACTGTAGCACACAACTTGATCAAGTTTCAGGTCTGTCATACAGAAATGAATGGAAAACAATGGCTGCAATCAAAAAGATACATTGAAAGTCATTTTACACTTTTCCTGTGTTGATCTATTAGAAAATATATTTGTGGTTTTAAGAATCAAAAATATTCTCAAAGTAGTTTTATAACTCTCTCAGGCTTCTCTCTGGAGCTCTCGTAACAACAGGTCAATCAGCCATTCAGAAGAGAGGGGGCTCTATTAACATAGAACCTAGACCTGCTTTATAATCAAACAACACATGGAAATATCACTTTATACAATATGGGACCTTTAAACAGGTTAATACCTCGATTCTGTGTGTTGAGTAAACCCGCTGACTGGGGAGTGGTTTACCCCGCCAATTGGAAGTCCACAGTCAGGACATTTAGATACAACCACTGGTTTACCACACTATATGAAAATACAGAAGCATATCATGTATTAGTATTTTTTTTATTATTATTTCATTCTCAAGGCTTGATACTATAAAAAGACCACAGAAAGGTCATACCTCTCCCACAACGCACACGTGTCCATTGGCACAGGCTGAAAATAATGAGAAAGACATTAGAAATATCCTCATGCATTCTGGATGAGGAAAACAACCTGAAGCTTCATAATGTAAAATACTTACTGTACATCTGAACTCTCCTCTCTCCACTCAGCCACTGTCTGACTTCACTCGTGTGATCGTCAGGCATAGTCGGCAGAAAGGAGTTCTTGAAGGAAAAATTTGAGCTGAATTAATGTGCTGCATTTATAGCAAACAGATCAAAGTATGACTAGGAGATACTATTTTCAGTTTTCAGTTTTAAGTTCGTGTGATACAGTCAAAACCTGCAGGATAGCTGCTGTAAGCACTGTGCGGTACAGCTGTATTGTCAATCATCAAGGTTGTTCTCTCTGACTTGGGCAGCACTGCCCGCGAACAAACTGACGCTCACGTGTAAAATCAGTGGATTGTCCCTTTAAGTTCAAAACAGCATGCAGCAAAAGCAAAACGTAAAGGACAGACCGAGGATAGAGGTGTCTTACTGTAACGTTCTGAGGCTGGGAGGCGATCTGGTAGAGAGGACCCAGCAAAGCATTTCCACTAAGGAGTACAGAGTCCAGATGGACCAGCAGCTCCAGGAGGGTTTGTCTCTGATGTGAAAGATTCTGGCTGATCTGGAGAGGCGAGCCCGGTCCACCGATCTGATTCAACAGAAGTGAAGCGCAGAACTCCCTCAACTCCCTTGTTGTGATGTTTCTGAGGAGCTGCTCCAGCCTCGCCGTCTCCTGTAAGTTCAAATACAGCCATAAGTCAAAAATAAATAAAACATAAATTACAACAACTTCAGAGTCACAAAGTTGGTTTTGATTTGGTGGTTTGCGTTAAAATGTTCACCAGCCGTCTGTTTACGTCAAGATTTTTCCCTTATTTCACAAATTTTTCACGCTATTCGTACTTTAACCGTTGCTTCTGTGCAGGTTCAGTATCTATTATATGACACAAATCGACATTAGACATCATGTATACTGACCTGTGAGGATGGACGTACGGTGATGTCAGGTGACTTGTAGCGGCAGGTGACGTGTCTGAACAAGGCCAGGGCCAGGAGGTTGATCTGAGAACCGCTCAGCTTCTACAGAGAAAATTTAAAACAATGGAGGTTTGAATAAGGAAAAATTAAAAAAATTAAAAAATAAAAATTATGATTAAACAGGTGAAAGAGAGAATTTTAGTTGGAACAGCTCTAGAAAAATCATATTATCATATTATAGGGTTTTTAATCAACCTTTTTCTCAGGTAGTGTTTTAATTAACACTTTTCTTTAAACCTCCATATTTAGAACTCATAAGCAGAACATAAATATCTAATAAACAATTTATAATGTAGTTATAAGCTGAAAGTGTAGATATAATTGTTAACAACTATAACTCCTGTCCGCAGCCATAACTGGGTGCCGGTGTGCAAACATATAATGAATGAAAATATAATATAGCATAACTGATAAAATATATGTCTTCATAAGTAAAGGTCATAATTGTTGGTGAATACTGTACATTAATAAAAACGTATGTATTTGCTTAAAACTACATCATAATGTGTAACCATTTATTAAATGTTTACACAGAGCTTATAAATAATGGGGGTTAAATATTTACACAGTGTGTCATTGATTAACTGATTGGAGTCTCTCTGACCTGCAGTTCTGTCATGAAGGTGTCTGATCTGTTTTCCAGGAGGACCTGGGCCACGGCGTCTCTCACAGCTCGGTAAGACGGCCCACAGCACAGGAACTGGTCCACGTTAGCCGGAATCATCCTCTTTGAGAAAAACGTTTTAGTGTTTGTTTTCATAGTACATGCACAGTTCTAAGCTTTGGGTTTCACAGTAACTAGTCCCAGCTTGGTCAGGGATACATGACGGTTCCTATATGATATGACAAGTGAGAACTTAGCAGTAGTTGATAGAGCAATGCAGGTCCATGCTATAGTTTCATCATATACGGATTGTCTTTGCTAAATTGTGGTTATGCAGTGGTTGTGATGTTCATTGACCAGTAGATAATATAAAATATCCCATGCTCAAAAACAGAAAACCCACATAACATGAGTAATACATAGTACAATGTACAAAAGAATAATTGGCAACTCTTTTCATAATCTGTTTATCATTTATGTATTTTTTTTACTGAATATTTGCCTATTTTTTTTATTTTTATTATAGTAAATTTAAGATCTCAGACTGAGCCACAACAAGTGATTTGAAGATTTGAATACAACAACTTAGAAAACTGTGATGAGTGCAGTTTCACTATTTTCAAACTAATTTAAAGAATAATCAATTAATCAAGAAAATAATCAGTGGATTAATCGATAATGAAAGTAATTAATAATTAATAATTAAGCTCTAACACATTCAAAATATCAGTGAAGTAGAACAGCACATATCTGCTATTGTTAGAAAAAATATTTCTCAAATATTTGGTGTTTTATTGAGAGAAGTATCCACTTCTTTTCTTAAAGCTACAAAAACCTTATAAGGAGAGACATCAAAAGCAGGGATGCAGCCTCTCAGCTGCAGGAGTAGATGAACAGTACTCTAAATGAGAATATCAGTTTGCAGACATTTTCAAATTAGTTATTTTTTCGTACAGCAAAGTGAGAGAGAGGGGATGACATGCAGCAAAGGGCTGCAGGTCGGTCTCGAACCCATGGCCGCTGCGGTTAGGACTTAGCCTATGTGGTACGGGCTCTACCAGGTGAGACACCGAGGCGCCCCGACATTTTCAAATTTCAAGAACCAAAGCAACTTCAGATGAATTCCTATTGATAAAATCTCACAACAACAAGGAAGAAAACCAGATTTTTGGATCAACTGTCAGGATTATTTTTCCTCTCTTCAGCAGCTCTGTGTTTTTTTGTGATGTGGTTTTACCTGAAGTCGAATGAGATCAGCAGGAAACACCCATCTCCAGGCTGGACTGTTCATCAGGGACAGTATGTGGTCCGTGCCAGAGAGTCTGCAGAGGGCTCGCAGCAGGTAAACCCTGTGCCAGTCGTTACCGCTGTACTCACACACCGCCCTCACCTGCTGCAGGTACTCAACCTCCGCCTCTTTACGTCTGCCTGCGTTTCATGAAGAAACACACGGCAATCTTTTTTTAAAATCATGAAATTATGTAACTGATTAAAGTTCAACAAAGTTCAGCATCACACACCTTGAACCGTGGCTCGCTCCAGCAGCCGGGCAGCCGTGCTCATGCATATTCTCAGCCTGGCCATGTTGAGCAGGAACTCTGCCGGGTCCTCTTGCCTGTCTGGAGTCTGTCTCCTGGCGATCCTGCTCAGGAATCTGATTTCTGCTTGTCTCTGTTGCTCTCTGCTCTCTTCTACTTCTCTCACCTCTGAGCACAACAGAGAGTCCTGAGAGGAATTTGAAAAAAGATGATATTTATTTTTGGTTGAAAACTCTTTGGTGCAAAAGAGGTGATGTTTTTATTTCAAGCAGCAACAGAAGCTGTTTGTTCGGAACAAATAGAAAAGATTAAGAATCTAAGAGAAACCAAATCATCTACATCATGTGTGGAGGTAATATATGTATCTTTTACCTGGAAACAGTTGACAAACAGCAGGTAGAGTTCAGTGTGGTCTTCTCTGCCCAGAATGTTCTCCTCCAGGTTCTTCAGGTAGGACTGAATGTGAGCCTTCGCCTGGTCAAAGCTGATGGACGCACAAAGCTTAACCAACATGCAACCCACACTTCAGCTACAGTAAGTACAAATTTGAGCCAATCATACTTCACATGAGTGCATCCATTTTGGGGGATTTTCAGAGACACATGCTTTTAAAATGAGAAAAGGGCGCCCCCACCTGTATTGCAGCAAAAGTTTGGGCAGCACGGATCGGACCACCGGGTTGTTATCCACACACTCCAGGAAGGGAGTGAGCTCTCGGGTCCTGTACACATCTCCTGCATCGCACACAAGAGTGAACGAATGTCATCAAAGCATCATGTGGGATCTAGTTATGACCGTGCACACGCACTAATTCCTTGACTGACCGTTAGCAGAGATGAGTAAAGAGAAGAGGAGCTCCACCACTCCCTCTCCAGGCCTCTGGCCCTCTGACAGACAGAACCTGGACACCACCTCCAGGAAGAAGGAGTTACAGCAGTCTCTGATGGCTGCATGCTGCTGAAGGGATGCCCTGAGCCATGAAGAGTAAGCCAAGCAGACATTAGAAAGACATGTCCTCTTACAAACACGTTATCATTTACACACAAAACCATGATAATTCTAATCTTCTTTGAGAAGTTAGAATGCCGAGTTTCCAACAATGAAGTTTGACTAAATGAGTCACGCCATTTCTATATTTCCTGCTCATTGTTTTTCCCCGACTCACTTGACGGTGTGAGAAACAGTCAGCCTGAAATCAGCCGGAATGTCTGCCCTGCATGTAGGACAGGAACGTCTGTGTGGCTGAATGCAGAGCTGCAGACACGGCAGACAGAAGACGTGCTGGCAGGGCAGCACAGACGGCTCTTTGAGCTCCAGCCAGCAAACTGAGCAAGAAATGCCAAACCTATGCAGCAAAATATCAAGAGAGATGAATTATAGCACCGAGAGATAAGATCAAAAAACATGCAACATCTTATTTTGTACATCACAAATAAAACATTTCTTATATCCTATACTGAATTCTAATTCTGACCTCAGATCCCTGCTGATACACTCATCGTGGAAAGAGTTGAGGATGCGGATCAGCTGCTCCAGTGTTTCCATGCTCCTCACATCAGGTGATTCCTGCATCAGCTGTGAGAAAACCAGAAAAAATAACCTGATCTCATACATTTGACTTTTGTTGTTTATGTCAAACTGTTGTTTCCTGCCTTTTGTAAGAAATGTCTTGTCCTTTCTGGGTCTTGGTTTTATTTTATTTCTACTGCACTTGTTTACAAAGCTGCTTTAGTGGGTGGATCCCACTGCAAAAGCTAACTTCAAATGAAGACTGTCTCTGTTAAAATAATAAAAGATTAATAGACATTCTGGAAAAAATACATGAACCTTCAGAGCAAAAGATGCTACATCACACATGTAAAAATAAATTAAAATGAGTTATCCACTAAAACACTGATCACGAGACGAGATGTGTCAGGATCTAGGAAACCCTGGTTAGTCATTTCAAGAGAAAGACAGAGACTGAAACCACTTCACGTACGTTCAGGTGGAGGTTGCAGTGTTTGAGAGCCAGTTCTTTCAATCGCACATCATTCGCTTTCACTTCAAAAACGATGTGCTGGATGAATGATGCAACAACAAGCATCCCGTGCCACAGTGACCTGAAGGGGAAAATGAGATTATAATAATAACATTAATACGCTTTATGAACACAGTATACCTTTTTTTTTTTTCCTGTCGTGAGTCTTGCCAGACTCACCTGATGGAGTCCAGGTGTTGCAGGCATCCTGGGCTGCAGAGGGTGCTGTATTTCTGACTGAATGCTCTGTCTAGACACGGCTGCAGAAACTCCACTCTGTGCACAAAGGACTTGCACTCACTCAGAGACGTCACAGTCAGTAGTTTGGTCTGCTCAACACAGACGCCCAGAGCTAAAATGTCCTCCACCTGCCAAAATAAAAGACATTTTAAGACTGCGACATGTTCACGGTTTTATAGTTGGCATCTTAATAACTACAGGATTATTTTATACTGATGTTAGACACATAAAGTTTAGCATGTTAGCATTCTAAACTAATAAACTAATCTGACAAGTGGGAATTTGACTTACTGGTGATGATGATGATTAAAATGAAGCCAAAAGGTTGTTCTCACCATTTCCTGGGGCTCCCCCTTTGACCTCTGCTGAAAGACGTCAGTGGCGAGCTCGGGCTGCAGTAGAAACATGTGGCAGAGGGTGTCCAGTCTGGGGGCAAAATGTTTGGCAGCAGCCATTATCCAGGCAGGAGAGAGGTCAGCGGCGGCACCCGTGGACTTCTGAAGCTCAGACACGCAGCCTGTCACGGCCCTGGTGAACACCTGTAAATGACACGTGTAAAAAGTTGAGGCTGTTCAGCTGTTCCCAAAATCTTTCACCTAAATGTGTGACTCATAATGTCAGTACCCTGAGCTCATCCATTGACTTGATCTTAAAAGACAGCAGCAGAAAGTCCTGCAGGTAGTTGAGACTGTACTGCAGTTGCTCCCCGTCTGAGAGTCTCTGTAAGTGACTGCTGAGCCTGCTGCTGCTGAAAGTGCTCACAAAGTGGAGAATCCTCTCTGTGCCGTCCTCTTTGGTCACTAAGAACAGGTAAAAGATGCAGAAAAAAACATTTTAACCCACCATATATATTTCATACATATGGAAGCCCTGAAAGACCAGTGAAACATTTTTTCATGCCAGGGTCTAAGTTTTTGTTTTTTCATCTGTGAAAACAAGCCCTGAAGGGCAAGTTAAACTTTTTGTCGGGAAGAAAGAAAAAAAAACAACAACTTGTGAACTTGAAAAGTTGAAAAAAAAATCTGGAAAAAAAAGCAAAAAAAAGCAAAATTATCCTGGCAAAAAAAAAAAAAACCCACTTGCCTCTTAGGACTTCAGTACCTCAGAATCTATTCATGAGTTGATATCATTATTATATTATTTATTATTATTATTATCTCATTATTGTATTTCAGACAAACCCGGCATAAACTCAGATTCCTCCCACAGGCTTTCAAGGTGCATTGTGATGAGCCAGCTGAACGGGGCAGAGCAGGACTGTTCTTCACCATCCAACATGAAGTAGTGCTTCACAAGCACCTCCTGGTCTGACTCACTAGACAATATAACAATCACAGAAAAATTATGTCTTTTGTTGATTAAGTTAACTGTGTGGATTGCAGAAAATAAGTTACCTACAATACCTTGGTTTCTGAAGAGGAGTTAGGTTTAAGATCTGTGAATCTGCCAGGATGTCCAACCACAGTTTTATCAGGCCCTCGCTGAGCCTTTGATCGGAGAGCAGGTCGAGATTTGCATTCCTGTCCATAAGTTCCACCATACTGGCCAAGATCGGCGTGATGGTGGACTGAAGACAGCGCCACAGGGTATGTCTACCAGGTAAAGATAGTGAAGGTATTTTGGAAAACATTCTTACATAACATCCTTATATAATAATATCTTTACATAATTGATCTTTACATATTATATATGAACATGAAATATCAGGTGTGCTATGTGAGTATTATACGCTATCGCATAACGAGGAATGTGTGATTTTTCTATTATGTTTTTGTATTGCTTTCATATTATCACTAGTTTTATATTCCTGTATAGTGTAAGTATATGTAAGCGTTTTGTGGTATGTGTTGGTGTGATCTTTCTGACACAGGGGTATTCAATAGGTGTGATATAACTAACAAACAAACAATCAATACTCAAAACATGACTTCCTGTATGGATATGAAAACATTCTGAACTGTAAATTAAGGATTCGTGTTATGTGATCAGTTTTCAGGCAAAAGAAAAGTTACTCTTAACTGATCTAATTACTGTAGGTCAGTTGATTATCACATCTGTAGAAGATTTTACCTCAAAGTTCCCCCCTCTTGTAGAGCCTGCTGTTTCTTGGCCTCGTTGCTCACCCAATCCTTAGGAGAGCCCATCCATACTTCTCTCTGTGCCAAGGCCTCAGCCAGTCTACTCAGCAACACCCTCTGAAAGTCAGCTTTAAACAAGATTGGAGACAATTGAAGATGCTAACACCTTGAGAATGTAAAAAAAAAAAAAAAAGAACATTTTGGACAATTTATATAGTATATACTATAGTTATATATTAACCAAAATTAGTAGATATTTACCTCCTATGTGACCTTGACCAGTTCCCAGAAGACTCAGAAGGATGTGCATCCGCTGCATGCTCCGTGATGTGACCCCATTGGGGTCCCTCAGCAAACCCACAGCTTTTTGGATACAAGATCTCACTAAGGACAGGCTGTGGAGATGGGCTCTATCTGCCTGTATCCAAAGATAATTACAATTCATTTAAGCAACGTTATAAATTATGATTTGTTTTACGCTAACACATATAAAGAAACATGAGTTTTGTTTACCTGAGAGTCTTTACTTTTCCACACCATTTCTTCATCTTCATGGTGTTCTAGTAAAAATCAACAATACTGTTTATTTTACATTAAATATTAATTTATAGAACAATTAACCACTTTCTCTTCCATTTGTAATATAAAGAAGTTTTTTAATGGCCAGATGATGTTCATTTCTACCTGACAGTGAAGGGTTGAGCAGGTTGCTAATGAGAGTCCCACAGAAACTGAACAGGTTCAGGCTCATGTCCTCTGAATCCCTCAGGTCATCAATATGCACCGACTGCCAGACTCCTTTGATGCAACAGACAAAACTTTGCTTTAATCTTGTCATACATCATAGATAATGCAGTTAGAAAATAACTCCATTGCAATAATGATCATATTCCACACTCACCTCCTTGGAAACCAATATACTGAGACTGACTTAGGATCCGAGAAACCTTCACAATGAAAATCACCCAACAGGGCTGATCCTCCAGGGACATCAAGTAATTCATGGTGCAGTATCTGTTGGCAGATGGAACCATAAACTCAGTTGAAACCCTGTAATGTCATTTTTCCACTTTGCATGCATACAATCAGATATGTTGCAGAGCTTGAAATCGAGGCATACTTTGCTGATGCTATGAGCTCATCACTGCAATGGGATTCCTCAAGGTCCATCTGGATTAACAGGATGTGAAGAGATTGGCCGGCCTCTTGAAGGAAGCCCCTGGCAGTGGCACAAAAAGGAGAACAATTTAAATATTAAAAGACAAACCTAAAATAAAAAGCCATGTTGCTGTTATCTGAATAGTTGGTACCGTATCGTGCTGCAGAAGGAGACTTCAGTGTCAAACTGGTGGAGCGAAAGCAGGAGGATAGTGTCCGAATGCAGTCCTAGAGCATGGGCTACAACCTTGACATCTGATCTGGTTAACAAGCTGGAGAATGTAGTTATCTATACAAAACCACAAAGCGGACAGTGATGTCAACAATTTGTAAAGATTGTGAAGAAATGATGAAAACAAAATTGGAGCAGTGGTCTGTGGCTTACCTCGAGAAACTTGGTGGACCCTTGAGTCTTGTTCAGGCAGTCTTCCAGGAAATCTCGAAGCGAGTGGTGATGTTGTTGCTGGAAGTACATCCTCTGGAGTTTCTCCTTCTCCTGGTTTGCTAAATCTGAGTACTTGAGCCTCATCACAGCGTCAGGGGTGGCACAGTTCAACAAGAGACATTTGGCTAAATCGAAGACTTCTTCTTCCTCCTCATTGTCCACAGCAAACTCAACATTGTCTTCTGTCTCCATTGTTTCCTCACTCTCAGACATCACTTTGTTCTCATCATCACACACCTCAGTGGACTCATCATCAATATTTTCAACTGACTCAGTTTCTTGGTCTTTTCCAGCAATATCTATGTCCATTGCGTCACCCAACATGTCAGTTACCTCATTCTGTCCATTAGAATTTGGCTCAAGGGTTTCGTTTGGTTCATCTTCTTCCACTGAGTCACCATTTTCATCCCGTTGATGTTGTCTTCCTGGATTGTCTTCAACTTTCTGTATTCTCCTTTCAAGTGCTTGCAAGAGAGCACTGGCACAGGCATCTCCATGGTAGCCAACAAAAATGTCGGACAGCTTGAAATCCACTGCGGCCTCACTGCAGACTTCCTTCACCCATTCCTTCAGTTTGTCAAGAACCCTGTGTTGCCATGGCTCCAGATCAGTACTCCTGTCCAGCCTGTGTTTTTCAAGCCTGTTGATGAGGGGCACAGGAAAGTGCTCATAGACCTTCTTCTGGTCCTCCACTACCACCAGTCTGAAGTTTGTATGGACACGACATTTCACTCTGTGGGAACCAAGACCTAGATCAACGTACTGCTGCTTACTGAGGTAAACATAGTACTGGTTCAAGGCATCATACAGGCTTTCATAAAGATTTTGCATGTTGAGTAGGATGACGGTGCGACCAGTCTCCATGCATGTTTTCACTCGGTTCACATTACGGCAGATTTGGGCATATTCCTGGTCCTTTGGGAATCCCGAGCCAAAGACTATTTCAGGTCGTGTACAATCTCCTTTGGCAAAAACTTGCTGCTGAAGGATATGGAGAGCTGCATTGTTGGTGGTCAACAAAAGGAGGTAACGGCTCTCCTGGTCGGTGTCATGATCAAGATTCTTTTTCACCATTTGCAAGGTGCTTGGTCTGGGAATTTCTGTAAGGTTTTGGGGAACCTCTTGGAAAAATATGACAGGGTCAAAGCCCTCTGGCTGTCCACTGAAGTTACATAAGATGGCCTCAACCAACTGTCCACCATCTGGCTCTTGCTGTGTGGATTTGACTGCGGCGAAGAGCATTTTGATGAGGCTGTAATAATCCCTTAAACCAAAGAACTGATTCTTTGAGGTCTCATTACAGATGCTCAGGAAGGCTTTTGCCAGAGGTTGGAAGAGGTGTGTGATTTTCAGGAGAATCTGTCTGGAGGATGAACATATTCCTTTGGCAGTTTCCACAAGTTCATCCTCACTTGGATCCCATCTGGACACAAATATTCCTCTGTTCATCTTTGCTGGGTCAAGAGCCCAGTTGGAGATGCCAACAAAGCCGACCTTCATGTGTGGATCTGGTTTGTCATTGTCAATGCACCCATCCTCCAAAAGAGGATGAAGGGTCTTCAGGGGCATCTGAGGAGAATCTTCTGCGAGTCCAATCTCATCAAGCACCACCACTGATACATACTCATCCATGTTTTTGTCCTTCTGAAACCGGGCACAGTTCTTGAATGTCCCTATGATGCCCTCTGGACTTGAGTGAGGACTGCACTGGAAGGAGACCATATGAACTTGCTTGAGTTTCTTGAACAGTTCACAGTGGGAGTTCTGGCCCTGCATGGCATCAGCAACCACTGTTTTAGCGAGTGACTTAGAGCTGCCTGGCTTTCCAACCAGAAAGAGTGGGATCCTGAGCTCGATGCAAACCACCATGAGAAACACATTCTCTTTTAGTGCAACATTTTTGGCTATTGTCTCCCTTGTCTGTATGTTCTGCAGGAAGAAGTCTTGACAGGATGAAATCTCTTCTTGCAATGCTGATGAAGAGCAGAGAGGCTCTGGAAAGTACCTACAAATTACAGCAAGGTACTCCTCTTTGGCCACCAGAGACGGGTAGTAGCAGACACCAACTGCAAGAATCAGGCACTTCAGTGTTTTATCAATCTGGTGAAGATGGGGGTTGTTGAAAAGGACCTCACTGTGCTGGTAAAACCAAACTAGCACCTTCATAGACCTCTCCACATCCCTGAGACTCACAAAACTGCACTCATTTTTCCGACTTCGCATGTATTTCTGGGAGATTGCCAGCACATTTGAAATTATGTTATTGCAGGCCTCTGGCAAATAATGGTCAGCAACTTTCTTCTGGACAATCAGTTTGATGTAGGAAAGTTCAGTTGAATCACTCAGCTGACCAAAATCCCACACCAAGGAAGTCATGCTGGGTGGCAGAGGATGAACTCTGTACACCAGCTGCCTCAGAGGGACTTTGCCAAGGCGGTCTTCTGTTTCATCTGCCTTCACCCTGTATCCTAATCCTGCACGTTCCAAGCGTTCCACCATTTCAGGTGAGTGCTTCCTGTAAGGATTGCAAGCAGCTATTATCTTTAAGCCACTGTTTGCTTTCAGAGGGTTACCTTTCACTGACTGATCACACAGGATTTCCTTGATGGCAAAAATGGCCTCTGTGGTGTTGGCTTCATCAAAGAACAAAATGGTGTCTAGCTTGTGCTTTCTACGGTTCTTCTCGGCAAGTATCTCTGCCTGCCTAACCTTTCTGTAGATCATCTCTGCTGTAGTGCCACCATGTACCTTGACAAGTACCATGTTCTCCACTGGTCTTCCCTCCCTCTGCAGAGCACAAAGGAAACGGACTAATCTGGTTTTTCCACAGCCGGTCTCTCCCATGATGACGACTGGAATTCCACACCGGAATCTCATGTTTATGGCCAACATCTTCATCACATTGTCAGCAGTGAGCTCATATGTTGGGTCTGGATCGAACTTGCTGTCCATCATTCCTTTCTCTGCACCAACAACATATGAAATCCTTTTGATTTTGCGTTGCCGGGGCAGCTGATCAAAGTCCTCAGTGAGAGAGATCATTTGCTGTTCCAAACCTTGAAAGATTTTCTGTGACATCACATCCTCTATCAGTACCTTTTTGCACTGAGGATCTACTGCACAGAGTGTGTTTCCCAATGTCTTCACATTAAAGCCCAGAAAAGACATTGATAATCGGTCTGCGTTAAAGAAAATGTATGGATGAAACTCATTTTCCCAACGCTTGCGAATTGTCAGACGATCAAGAAGGTCATCTTCCAGACTGTGTTTAAGATGCAGCATCGGACTTTCATCAGATGTGTTCAGAGAAGGTGAGGCAAAATCTCTTGCCATTAGAATCATGAACTTCACAATGAAGCCCTTGAAACCAGGTAGCTGGTCAGCCAGAAAATCTGGGTCACAGAAAATTGAGTTCTCACAGTCTTTCAGCTGCACATTGAGGAACCAGGAGAAGTTCTTCAGCTCAGCCCAGGATGGATCTTGCATTCCACAGTACCGCAGGAAGTATGTGAGACAATCGACAGGATCCCCCAGTCTGGATCCTACTTGGTACTTAAAATGATCCAGATTCTGATTCTGGTAGTAGCGCCTCAAATATTGATAGGGTCTTTGAATCCCCTCACTGCAAAACTCTTGCTCATCCATGAATGGATCAAAGGTCTGATTTGTTAAAACCCTTTGATTTCTTTGAGCCAACAACTGCCCCACCTCTTTTGGAGGTCTACAATGGATGGTAGGCAGAATGTCCAGAAGTCCAAGCCTCATCTGTATGAGCAAATTGAACACATATTATTTGATTATATGTAATTTATAAAATCACTAGGAGCCTGAGGATGGTGTTACAATTTTGCTTTACATTCACAAATGGGAAATCCCAACCCTAACCCAATAATTTAAAATCTTAAAGGTTCTCCAAGACAACAGACCAAAGTCAACAAACTTTGTTTATAATTGAAGTCATGCTTGAAAATTAGGGGAGATTTAAGGCACTGAATTCAGAGATCTATGGGACTCCAAGTCAATATAAGCAGATGAGTATAGATGCTCTTGTCTAAGATTTTGTGCTCTTGCATGAAGGGTATTTCATTCACTGTTATTGAAAGCTGTGACTTCACAGAAAAGTTCTAAGTTAACTGCTTGTTTAATGTCTGAAGAACAATATGACATTTTCAAATTACATTTCCTGACAGTAGACAAGCACACTGAAAAGAAGTTATGACCTTGAAAGGACATTGCTACCTCTTTTGGCTGGTTTTGACAGGATGTGGATGTGTTCAGGACCTCAACAGTGATCAAGTGAGTTACATTCCTTCTCCACAGCATGCCGTGGCTGTCACTCAAACAGCCCAGAACTAACAGATGGAACAGGAGCTCCTCAAGGCCTGAACGAACCTGACAAGTATCAAATGTGACAAAGAATTCAGACTTTGAAGTACAACCAACACCAGCACAAGCTATCTGCAGAGATAAAGGCTTGAATACTTACTCCAGCAGTGTCAATGTGCAGGAGTACAGGGTCCTGCTCTCTCAAGAATGCCATTTTCTCTGATAGGTTCTTGATCAAGGAGTCTATGTCAACACATGGCTCAATAAGTCTGATCCTGAGATGTTTTGCTCCGGGAGATTTCTGCTGGAACTTCTCGAACAAACGATCCACATAAAGGGATTTCCCTATTGACAGAAAAAAGATGCATTCTGTCAAGTAAATTATTGCATTTATTGATATTACCACTAGGGGTTGACAAAGTAATATATGTTCAAATCTTAGTTTAAAAATGTCAAAATGTACATAACAAGTAAATTCTATTCTTGCCACAATTTTATAAACATTTTCATAATGGCATGTCAATCAGGATTATCCTTACCAACTGCAGGGCGTACAGATGACACCATCCAGACCGACAGTTGATCTGGAGAAACCCGTGCGACAGGGTTTTGCAGGAGTGTGTTTTGTGTGAAGTGGTGATGCAGATATTCCCTGGCAGTCGTTGCTGTCAGACTCACACCAGCTTGTACTTTGTCATTGCTGAAGAAAGATGGCACATATCTGTGCTGGTGCACAACCGGACTGACTATTACCAAACGATAATGTGGGTTGGCACTTCTCTCAAGGGCCTCGAAGAGCTCCCCCAAGGCCACACTGACGTCATATCCCAGCAGCCCAGGATTGACAAGAGAATATATCTTCTGACAGTTTTGCTTGGAGCCTTGACCAAGAGCTCGGCGGAGAAAGATCTCCACCTCCTCCTCTGTGGTCTCCTCTCTGCAGACTAGAACCTCATCAGCAGAGGGCAGAGGCTGCTCTGGACTCGCCATGTAAAAAGACAGGGTGGTGGTAAAAACCTCTGCGCTGGGACAAAGCAAAAGATTGGGCTTTCCCTCCTGGAGAATCGGGGGTAGGTTCCTGATCATGTGCTGCTGGTTCGTTTCAGAGAGGCATGAGAGGAAGTGGGCCAGAGTTGAGATGTCCATGTATTCACTGAGGTATTGTGACATGTGTTCCTTGAATAGTCTCCAGAGGTTTTCAAGAATGCCCTCATCATGCTTCCTAATGTCATCATCACATGTCATGACACCATCATCTTCATCCTCGGAAGAAAACTGCATCAAATCCTGAGTTTCTTCGGGGTGTCCTGGTGACGCTGGTGTTAACTCTGTATAAGGTTCCAAATATTGATCTTCATCATCAGACTCATCATCAGCATCTTCCAGTTCAGCATGCATTGACACCGCACTTATTGCATTACAGTAAGCGTCTCTGACATCAACTAGAGTGCACTGAGGCTTTATTGGAAAAAGCAGATGCCATAACTGTTGAGGAACTGACGCCTGACGTTGACACACTTTGTGAATCCAGTAGCACAGGTACACCAACTGCTCTGAGGTGTAATGGTTCAGCAAGCTGAACTTGGAGCGCATCTCACTGATGAAGGAACGCCATTCTCTTTGGCAGATTTCCATGGAGTGAGCGAGCTTCTGTAGCTGCTCGCTCAGCTCGCCGTAGTATGACATCTCCTTACCCTTCAGGGATAAGAAGGTGATTTTGATGCAGGGTTGCTGTTGTGGACAGCAGTGGACCTCAGCATGCCACTCCCTGAAGAGCATATTGCCAGATCCTTGCATCTGAAGAAGGATGGTGCCAAGTCTCTGAATGCCTTCAAAAACCTACAGTGGACAGGAGTGGACAGCTGTCAGTCATTGTGACTCACACTTAAAGATATTTATTACTCAGATTCCATTCCAAATCGCCAGAGCTTTTTAACTCATAGTTTTATTTCATGGCCCAAGTGTGGCCCTTATACAGCATGATTGTTAGATGCTATTTCCACATCTGGACCAATTCTGGCGAACACACCACAATCTTCCGGCTGTCAGATTAAAGTCGGAATCTACCCAGATGCGAAAGTATATGGGCCGGACTCGGGCAGAGGAAATGGTGTGTACACTGGGCCAGAAGTTTAATTTTGCGAGTACTGAAGAGAAACATTTGGCAGATCAAAACAAGTGTAAAAATTTGGTACAACCATCAATTAGTGGAGCTTTAAAATACCATAATTTTATGTCATTAGATGTTAAGACTGGAACACTGGATTCTGTTCTGTTCAGTCACACTGCTGTGACTAACAACATGGTACTACAGTGAATGACAATGGCAATACAGGTACAAAATCTACATCCTGTGCTTCTTTAGGCATTTTAGGCATAAACATTTTTATACAACAGTGTCAGACCACTCTGGATGCTATTTTTGTTGCAGCTTGAACATAAATAAATAACCTCTCTGTCCACAGGTCAATACTGTGCAGAAAGTTCAGCTGTAAATTCAAATATCATGTTGTATAAATGCCCCTGACCTCTGTGAACCTGTTGACTTGTTCTCTGCCGTGCTCCCCTTTGGATGACATGAGCATGAGTTTGTTCTGTAGCTCCAGCAGCTCTTCCAGCCTGTAGCTCTTCTCCTCTCTGCCCTTCATCACTCTGACCTGCACCATGTTCTGTAGACATCTCTGCAAACAAGTGCAAATCAGAGGAAGTTCAGTCAGCGAAGCTCAATATCTCATTCTCTTTGACACATCTTTTAATGGAAGATTGTCCACTTACCCTATGTGTGTTTTCATCAGACCATCCTATGTGATACACTCCATGTGCATTAATAGAAGAAGCCAGGGAGAGAGAGGACTGCTCCACTGAGCCGTGGGTCTCCTTCAGGTCTTTCAGCCAGTTCAGTAATCGAGTAGACTCTCTCTGAAAAACAAACATCATTGTCACATTGCTGCAGCAAAACAGCTTTATGTGCTGCCTGCAAATAACAGAGAAGTAAATACCAATTTGTCTGGGAGCTTCTCATCTCTGCTCTGGGTGTCCCACACCTGCTGAGCACACTTCATGAACTCCTCAAAGCCAGCCTGAGGGGAGAGGGAGTAGAGCAGAGGAGCGTAGCCCATCACTGCGTCGTGGAAACAGGCCACCTGGTCGATCTCTCTGTCGTTCTCTCCGGCAGATATGGAAGCCAAGTCCACATAAACCTTCACGTCGCTCATATCTGTTGAGGGGACAGAAGAGTAAGAATGCAGGCATGTTCTTCAGGATCATGTGGAGATAATGTGGAGATTTTATTTTTTGCCTTACTTCCAAGGTTGTTTTTGACCCAGCTGACCAGAGTTTGACTCGCTAGAAACTCTTCCAGACAGACAGTGTGCTGCTTGGTGACTGCAGAAAGTTGCTGTTTGGCCTGAAACAGGTCTTCCCTGAGGGATCCCAGAACTCTCTGCTTAAAGCTGTCCTCCTCCTGTTAAATAGTCCATCATAAAATTCAAGAATTATACATCTTCTTAAAAATAAAAGTACCTTTAAGAGAAAAGTTTGTTTGCTTCTGCTAGACAAATTTAAAAAGTAAATCATTATGAATTGAGCCATGCAATTTTAAAAGTGTTTTGACCAAAAAATGGCACTTTTCATTTTCTTAGCAAGCAACCTATGGGACAGGGCCCACTGGTGGGCTGCGGAGGTATTGGGCCGACAAATCAATTTGCACACCAATACAATTTTGGTGAAAAGATATAATTATTAGAAAAAAAAACCAAAGAATAAAAATATAAATTCAGTTTTTAAATATTTTGAAATGATCTTTAAAAACATAAAAATGTTTTTAAAAACTCCTTTTTGTTGTCCTTGTCCTTGTTTTTTGTTTCTCGTATTAAGGTCATCACCAACCGGACCACACTGAATACTTGTTTGCTATCTCAGTCTGATTGCATGCTAAGATTACATCCATAGTTAAACCTGGACTAACAAAGTGGACAGCTGGTAGGCAACAGGAAGAATTAAAAGGAGACAGTCACACAAAAAGGAAAAATTTGAAAAAAGTTTCCCCTGCTTTCAGTTCAGTCCTGAATGTTCGATCGTTACCATTTAAATAAAATGTGCTTATTATTTGGCCTCTGTATTGTTATATGGTCGGATTTGGGCTGCCAACATTTTTTAAATTTTCAAGTGGCCATAAAGTGTAAAAGGTTGAGAACCACTGGGTCAGGCCATTACTAAATATAACTTAATTTCTTGTAAGATTTCAAGACTATTACCAGTTGACTCAGAGCGTCAATTTCTGTAAAGTTCCCAGAAAGCTCCATTTTTTGAACAATCTTCAGAACTGCACTGGCTGCAGCCGCCGCCTCGTGGAGCTGCGAGTACTCCTGGATCTGATCGAGTCTCAGTTCCACCCAGTTCTTCTCAGGTCTGAACCGTGTTGACTCAGAAAACATGTCTGACATCAGAATCAGCTCCTTCTTCATGAGCTTCCCGTCGCCCTGGTCGCCAGACTCCGCCAAAACCCGATCAAGCCGCTCGATAGTGATGTTTGCGTTTGCTATGCTGACACCAAGCTGAAAGAACTCCTCCAGCAGCGGGCCCCAGATGTTTTCGCAGACCTGCGTCAGGGTTATTGGAAGTGGAGCAGAGGAGGGTCGCCTTGCTGATGCCAGAGACGCCGCTCCCTTGACCCACGAGGATAGAATCAGGTTGCTGTGATGCAGTTTGTGCATCTCACTGGACATTTTCAAGGCACTCACACTGGTGTTATACCAGCGGACCTGAGGAGGACCTTCAACCTTCTTCAACCTTCCCTCAGCATCAAAGGACTGAACCAGCACCAGTTTGTTAAGGCTCACAGTCTGGAGATCTGCACTGTGCTGCTCCTCAAGAGCCGACATCTCAGGAGCTGGGTGAATAAGAACCATGTTACTGGAGAACACAACGCATAAAGCCAAAATACAGAACAAACTCTTTGGAAAATAGATAATTGAAGTTAATGCTGGGTTTCTTTTTTATTTTTCAAGTGAAACTCACCTGTGATGTTTTCTTTAACCTTTGCCATCATCTTTATCAGTGTGTCCATCTGCTGTTTCCGCTGCAGGAAAGAGTTCAAATCCTTCTCTCTCTGAGTCAGAACAGTCTCCGCTTCCACAGGAACCGTTTCAGATTTGGTATTTCTCTTATCTGTAAAAGACAGGAAGCAGCTTTTATTAATTAATACAGTTTACTTCTGTTGGAGGTAAATTTAATAAAGTAATCATGGAAGGTTGTTAGTTTTCGTACACTGTAGGTAAAGTCTCTTAAACTGCTCTCTATGTTTCAGGCAGGTCTGCAGGTGTCCCAGGGGAATGTGTCCCTGAAGCAGAGACTCCACCAGAGACTGAACCGCGACCACGCAGCTGTGGACGACATGCCCTGCAGAGTCATCCACCTGGATCGACTTCCAATCACCTACAGCGAGATAATAACAACATTGTGGCCATTATACAACCTGAAGTAAATACCGGTAACAAATTAATTTGAATACTAAATAAATGAGTGAAATAAATGATGAAATGATGTACCGTATAATAGCAGGAAGCTCACGGCTGACTGTGGATGGAGCAGCTGGATCACTGAGTCATCTTTGAATCGTGCTGCTGACTCAACAACAACAGCAGACAGGATGACAGCAGGAATATCTTTCACCTTCTGGCCGAGGCTTCGCATCAGGTCCCCGTCCTGCCCTCTCTAAAAACATACATGTATGCAGCATGAGCATTCACTATGTCAGACACTGGGTCTTAAAGGTTCCATGTTTTACACTTCTCCTGTGTTTTATTTGAAGTGTTGATCCATAAGAAGATATATTTGTGATTGTAAGAACCAAAAACCATCTCCTCTCTCAGGATTCTCTCTGAAGCTCTAGTAACAACAGGTCGGTGAGCTCCTAAAATATGCAGCAAATTTTCTCTTGAAACTTCAAACTTCTTCAGAATATGTGGGCGTGGGAAAGAGAAAAGTGCTGTCAATGTATCTTATAGCAAGTCATGAATTGTTCTAGCCACAAGGCACAAGTGAGTGTGTCTGTACAGGAGAGGGTTATATGTGGCTTAAACTGTGTACTGTAGGAATCGAGTAGAGAGAGTGTGTGGGGAAAGCCTAAAGATGTCTTTGGACCGAGAGGACCACACTGGCAACTTGGTCCCCTGTGACCCCGGGTACAACTGTGGATGGAAAAATCAAGTCCATCATATGACGCGTGAATCAAAAATTGTCAATAAGATGAACTGTACCTGGCAGATTGTCTTGATAGCAGACTGACACAGCTCATCGAAACAGGCCTGTACAACGCTGTGGCTTTTCCTTATAGCAGCCATGGTTGCCTCGTGGCAGCACACCAGTACTTTATTCTCCTCACTTGACTGCAAAAAAAAAATACAACGCAGAATTGTGCTGTAAAATCAAATCATTTACCTTAACTCAGTTAGAATCTACGCTGCTGAAGAAGGTCACTGACCTGGGAAATCCTCTTCCTCAGGGCTTTTGTCAGGCTCTGAGTCCAGCGGGATGAAACCTCTTCGATAGAGCATTCCACCTTGAGCAGCGCATCCCACATCTGATAATTCAACACACGCATTATTACATTTAGAGCCAGTTTATGTTAAACCTGGCTCCCCTGCACAGTTACAGTAAATAAATATCATCACCTTATGTTTCAAAAATGAAACAAACTAGTAAATAAACACTTATAGCAAAACCACTGTAGAGTATTTGATGTTTTTTGACTTTTTCAAAGGGAATCTGGTTCATAATCACAACCTTTGGCTGTTTGGGTTCATAATATCTGGGTGAACACAGCTGAAACTCCTCTTTTTCTTTTTTAGATTGACCATGACCATGAGCTGACAACATACCTCGATTTCCTTCGTGTAGGAGATCGTTTTCGACGGCGACAGGAGGGGTTTTTTCAGCAGCTCATCTCGCCATTCACTGATTTTCTGCTGAATGTCGTGCAGCTCCTTCAATAAGTGCTGCTCAAACTGATCGTCTTTGGGCTAAGAGACACAAAACAATGAATTCAATTGAAATTTTGAAGCAGTTAACGCACATAATAAAGAGATTATTACCTCTCTTTCTCAGCGTAGCATCCAGCAACACTTGCAGTAAACAGAAGAACTTGATTAGATCGACATGTTTTGCACGAAACGTGTCGATCAAATAAAGTTCTTCTGTTTATCGCAAGTGTAAACAGGAGTTGTGACGTCTTTGGACTTTTTTTTACTTACTTTGTTTCTCAGCACATCGTCCAAACCCTCCGCCAGTTTCAACACCAGCTGGTAGGACAGGACGACCGCCGGGTGCCACGAGACAAGTCGCGCAATGCCGCATGTCGTCCTTGCCACACTGATGCTGCTCATGAAGGCTGGGTGGATGTTTCCGGATTCAATCATCCTGCGGAAGCAAAGCAGAAGCTGCAGCGAGCACAGAGCCACAAACGATGAGCAGAATCTGAGGATTGTTTCACACCGGTCCTTACCTGTTCCTCTCTCTGTCGACCTTCAGCAGGAGATGAGTCAAGGTTTTTTCAGCATGCTGCAGGAAGAAAGGACGAAGATTGTCACAAAAGCTCATTTTAAAGACAAGACAATGTGATTTTAAATGTTCAATATTGTCACCTTTACAATCTTCTGATCCATTGTGTCGCCACATTTGCGGAGCCTGTACAACAGACTCTGGATCAGGTGTTCTGCTGGTATCCCCGTCAGGTCTGAGAAATCAGGAAGATCATCAAACGCGACAAGAGACAACCAGCTGATCAGAAGTAGGGGCGTCTCTTCAGCCATGGATAACTGCGACTTGATCAAACTCATCATTCTCCTGTGGAAAGAAACAGAGTTACGTCTTTGCAGACACACTGGTTTCAGGAAGAGGAAGTTTATGGTGGCTTTGGGATAAGACTCGCCTTCTCTTGTCGGGGTGGGGCTGTATCCACTCTCTGAACCTGCTGAAGTTCACGTGTTCAAGTCCTGACCAGTTTTCTTCCTCTACAGTTGGACCCACTTTTGTCGCGTCAGCTCCCGCCTGTCGGAGTCTGAAGAGCAGAGGGACGAGCAGGACGAGCTCCGACACCATGAAATTAGCACAGTGGTTCATCAGCCCCAGCACAGTGCTGTCGGGGGGGAGGGGGGGGGGGGGGCAGAGTGAGGACAAGGTCATATCATACATCAGATAAATAGAGACCTTTCTATAGTTACACACAAATTACATGATGGGTTTTGGTGGTTGATTATGATCATTTTGAAACTGAAATGTGTCAAACAAATAAATTCATTAATTGAAAATATAATAAAGATATTTAGTATTTCTCCAGTAGAATATTCTTGGCAGTGTGGTAAACACCTCTCCCAACTCATCCAGACCTCTGCAGCCAGCATTTTCCCTCACACATCACTGATCCTCACACTTACCTAACCTCACCACACCGCACGTTTAACATCACTTTCTGAGCTTAAAATCTTATTAACCCTAATTTAAGCCCTTAATTGAGGTTCTTAACACCCAGCGAATGCAGTTGAAAGGTCTGGAAAAGTGACTTTTGTTTGTCAAGCTATATAAAGAATGATTTTTCACACCACCTCCCACTGGTTTTAAGCTTTTGCAGAACTTACTATTGTGGATTTTGGAAAGAACTGAGCAACCCATCCAGGTTACTCTTGTCCATTGCGGCCCCTGAGGACACCAGGGAACATAGCTCAGCCCAGCCTTTCACTCCAAGGTTGATTTCAAGCTTCCTGGTAACCATGAAAACAGACAGGCCCAGAACAAGAGGACTGGTGCCTCTGCATATTTCTGGGAACTTCTCCCTCGGCTCTCCTTCTAGGATCTGAACCAAGTTCTCTGAAATCAGGTCGAACGTCTGTAAACAAAAAAACATTTGGTTATTGGCTGAATATTGGAGGTAATGTTTCATCAGTGCTTTGAATCATACACATCTATTGCACCAACCTTGATCATGGGAGGTTGTGAATTGTCTGGGTAAACCACCCTTGAATGTGCAGAACCAAGACTCATCATAAAATGCTTCAAGTTATCACCCAGGGTCGCGGTGCTCTGTCTGTCTGATGGAGACCATTCCTGGAAGAGTCTGTTCAGCAGAGTTCTCGCTGCGGCCTGCCAGGCGTCTGAAATCTCCACACCTTTGGACTTCTTCAAGCCGACCATGTGAAGACCAGTTTGCCACAAACCCTGCACCTCCTGACGACCGATGAAGCCTTCGTAGAGGTGAAGCTCTAAATTAAAAGAAACGCAGGCAGGCACGTGATCAGTTTATAGGAAAGACTGAAAACAACAGTGGAGTGTTGACATAATGAAACTAAATGGTTCGCTTACCTTTAATATTTGAGTTCAGAGGAATTTCAACATGTCTTGAGGCAACTTCTATTATCTCCTTTTGTCTTTGTTTAACACCGTACCTATAGTTCAACCAGATTCCTCTCTGCAGGGTTCTTTCTTCAACTGGCAGACTTGCTTCTACCAGATAGCCTTCCTGTTTTACTCCACTAAACATAAAACATTGAACATTTGTTATAATGATGCTTTTACTGAAGCTGAAAATCTCACAGCTGTCTGAAAAAAATCCAGATAGTTGTAGGAATTTTTGCTTCTTGTCTGTATTTCAGCACATTGGATTTGCAGGACAAGTATCTGTCAAGACAACAAGGGAGTTTTTTTTTTTTTAAAGCCAAACAGTTAAAGTTTTATGGTCAGGTCAAGTCAGTACAAGAAGACCTCTACCTGATCAGAGACTTAGTACCAAATCCTTAGCAGTCATTGTCTGGTTGGATTGTTGGAGCACAACAATCTCAGCTCACGGTCCACTCAGTAGCTGTTTCGTAGCTTTCAAACAAATTACACGATCTTCATCAGCAAATGGGGTTTGCCCAGTTGCCATGGAAACGCAGATGCTCAAATTTACATTAAAATTTCCCAGTTTCAATACGAAACTGATCTTGTGTTCACAAATGCACTTTGAAATACAACTTTTAAGCCAACATGGGGGTGCCCTGTGCTTTTCCCACAGTGCTGTTGTCTGTCTGAACATTTACTCCACATAAAGTGGCTTAGATAACCTGGATGAACGTTTGGCTTGTTTGCCACGTGAACTCCTGACTGATGTGAATGTTAACACTCGAGTTAAAGCTGAGACGCAGAACTTTAACTTCAAATTTCAAATCTAAAGCACTGGAGTACAGAGCCATTATAACAAAACAAGTTCTGTCCAAATACTTGCAAAGACTGCAATATATATTAAAGCATACTCACACAAAATGTGTCACTTGAAGAGGTAAATACTCTCTCTCCCCATAAAACAGAACAAGCGTGTCATATTCTTGGTTGAATCTAAACTTTTTGTCCAGCACAGCGTAGATGTGAAAGGTGAACATGGGAGCTCCAGGTGGAGGCCTCACTGGGCTTCGATCACTGTGGAGAGAGAAACAGACACGTTTACAGTCACAGGCTCAACCACAGGTGAGTCACCTGTTAATATCAGTCTTGCTCTTACCGTGTGCTCTGGGATGTTTTTGTGGTTTTATCTCGTGCTGCCACGTTGGACTGTTTCTCATTCTTCCCCTCTCCGGACACAGCTTTAGCATAAGACAATGGTTCAGCACCTTTTTGGATTTGAGACTCTGTGGGATCACCTGAGACCCCTGCAGAGGGATTCTCCTCTTTAGATTTGGATTCTATCTCTGTTTTTCGCTCCTTGGCTGAATCTGACGCTGCTCTCTCGGTGTCTGGATTTTCATGTTTTCTTAAAGGAGTCTGAGCGGCGCTGTCACCTTGCGCTGTGGGTTGAGATGTGTGTTTGTCTGGTTCTGTCTGTGTCTCTGCAGCGTGGCTGGTTCCAGGTTGAGTCTGTTCATTGTTTGTGTCGTCTTGTTGTGGCACAGTGACATCTGTCTGTGTTTCCTTGTTGCTCTGAGAAACAACTGGAGTTTGTGTAACTTTGTGTGTGCCTTTACATCTCCTTGTCTGAGTCTGAGCCCCCACCATCTTGGCTTTTTGCTGGTGCTGTCCTCCACTGCTTTCTTCTTTTGGCAAGTAGTCTGCAGCTTGTGGATCCACATGTTGCACGGTCTTGTCTTTTTCTGCGCTCTCACTTTTGACATCTGCACCTCCTTTAGTGTTTGAGCTCTTTTTTCTTCTTCGGTGTCTCTTTTTCGTCTTCTCTTTGTCTTGAACCTTCCTGCTGGGACTGCCTGGTTCTTGCTCCTGGTGCAACATCTAAATGAGGACCACATATCTGCTTTTAGATTCTTGTGTTTTAAATGTTGTTAAAACATTGTCTAAAACCTTGAAATGTCTACCTTATTTCGTCGCCGGGGTCTTTTGGTTGCAACATCCTCCCTCTCCTTGTTTTCCACCTGGGGTCCAGGGGCACTGCGGAGGTTTCCTGCTCCTTCCTCCATCTGTAGGGACTCTTGTCTTAGGGGAGTCCCTGTTCCCTGTTACCGGTCTCTGAATTTGAGGCACAGTCAGGAGTAACAAAATGAGAAACACTGCCACAGCTAGTTCCCAAGAGCAGTATTCATCCTCCTGAGGGACTTTGTACACTCATAAATAACTTCAAAATGTAATGCAACCATACACAACAAATGATGTCACACAGTCAAGTGACAGTAATACAGCAAGACCGCAAACACCACTAGGGCTGCAAGTAGCTATTATTTTTATTATCAAATTATCTCCCGATTATTATTTTATTTCATTCATATTAATTGTTTATTCTATTAAATGCTCGAAAAATAATGGAAAGTTTTCATCACTGTTTCCCAAAGTTGGGCTTTATCCAAAACCCAAAGATATTTAATTTACAATAATGCCACTGATTAATTTGTATTAGCATCTCAGCTAATTTCAGACGATTTGACTTCAACTTAGGAAACCCAAAGAAGTTATTAACTAATATAAAATCATATGACAAGCATTTAACGCCAATAGTTTTTGCAGTAAATTCGGTAAGAATGTTGCTCAGCTGTAATAAACGGTCGTAAATGTAGTTATAAGTGAAGCAGCGCGTTTCCACATTTAAAGTTTTATGCTATGTTTACCTACCTGTTAGTATGAGTAAGTAAGTTCGCAGACATGGATATGTCATGTACACAGCAAGTGAAATCCTAGGGAAATGTTTATTAGCCTACCTACTGTCACGTACTATATGTAACTTCGAGGGAACGTCGAGAAGTTCACCCGCCGCTGTGACGTTGGAGGGAAAGTTCGACAGAAACTCGATTGTTACTCTCTAATCGAACCGTGTTGATTAGTAAAATCTCACTCCGCGTAATGACCGTCGTTTCAGGTCATGAATCGTTAGTTAATACACGGCGTTAAAGGTTTCTCGTGTTTAATTTAGTGATTAATTTCTCGACGGTCCCTAAAGCAAACAGCAGCCGTTTCAGTTTCATTTCTATCATAATCCAGTCAAACAAGAAACTTAGACTGTGAAACCATTAGGTAAGTTCAGGGCACCGTGTCGTAAGTGTGTTACTGCAAATGTTGTTTTATGATTAATTATTTTCTTCGTCTTCTCACCAATTTTAATTTGTCTTTTTCTGTTATTATGAATTATATACTTATTATTGCTACTACTTATTATGTTGTAAATATATTACAATTACAACTTCGCATTATTATTTATTATATTATTAGACATATCTTTATGTTTTGCTTTAAATTGCACAAGCTGTATGTTCCTAATGTTCAATGAAAAAAAAATCATATTTGGCAAATTTCATGTTCATAAGTCAATTCTTTCGCTTTTTTGTTTTGCCTATTCATTTTTTTCTAATTGCTTGTTTATTTTAATTTTCACTTCTCTGTACTTACAGTATCCATATCCGTACCATTCTCCAAACACAATCCGTGTCTTAATAACTGTTGTATATTTAGACTTTTTGCAGCTACTTTACTGACGCACCTCTAATTTTCTTACTCTAATTTTCTTACACGTACTCTTCTCTTTCCAAATAATGCTCTTAAAAAAAAAAAAATAATAAATAAAAATTCTGTTTAAAAATCTATTATGTTGTGTTCAGTTGCTCATCGGAAGTTTTCACTTTCGATTTCGGCAGTCTGCAAGTGGAAACCCAGCGGCCATGGACGAAGGCTGTCGTGACTCAGGATTTTTATGCTCTTAAGTTTTTTTATTTAGCATATTAGCACATTTGTCAAAACCTGCTTTGACAAAATTGTTTTCTTCACCCAGATGAATTTAGTGAATTCAATAAAATATTCAAAGATCAAACGTAAGAAGAGAGTGCGTGGATCATTCATCACCAGGTTTACACAAAATTCACAGTCACACAGGTCTACACGATGTTCGTCATGTTAGGATGAAAATCTTCCTGATACTTGGGAGCCATCTTGTGGTGAAGGAGAAATATATATCAACTCTTCATCAGATGAAATGCTGTTGAATACTTTAATCAAATCACCATAAATGTATTTATAATAAGGAGTGCAGTGAGTTTGATGAAGGAAATAAATAAAAGAGCACAGAGAGAAAACATGTTTCAACCCTTGTGAGAAAGAAAGTTCAGCACCACAGTGAATTTTATTATTTAGATGGTTTGTCAACAGTTAAATCTACTGGTTTCACCCGCTTACAGATTTGTGATCTGCAGATTTACTGTATGTGATCTAAAATCCAAGAAAAGATTTGACCTCACCTGCAGTGAGATATTTTAGAGAGATACTTTGCTGTTCATGAGAATTAAGCAAAATCATGGAGGTGGTGTTGAAGCAGAAAAAAAATCCTTTATAAAACATAACAATACACTGCACCAAACGTATATCTCAAAGCTTCAGGATCTCCAATCCACACTCAGTCCTGTGAACCCGCAGGCTTCTTGATTCTCCGGACGACCACCCTGGTTCTCCTCCCTTGAGGTCGACCTCCAGCGCCGGTCGGAGCCGCCTCCGCCTCTCCTCGCAGTGACCCCGCGGGTCTGGGTTCACCTCGGGGCGAGGCAGGGTTCCTTCCTGATCTCGCATCATCCACGAAGGCCTCCACCCCTTCAAACTTGGCGGTGAGCTCGGCGAGACGCTCTTTCAGAGCATTGAACTCCTTGTAAAGGTCTCCTAGGGCGTCTGACAGGGGCTGGATCCTGGAGGGACGGACCAGTCAAAACCAGTCTCACTAAAAGCAACTTTCATCTAGACTGACTGAGTCATAGAAAGTTATTAAAGAAGAAAAGTCAGATGAAGTCACCTTCCATAGTCAGGCAGCACAGTGTTGTGGTCATGCAGCAGCAGATCTTTGACCTGCGTCATGATGGCATATTTCCAGTTGTCTAAAACCAGCGTGAGGTTGGCACATCCTCTGGGGTTCAGTCTCTCTGCTACAGGTGAGCACACACAGAGACGACACAGAGCAGGCAAAGCATCACTGCAGAGGCCTCTTCATCAAAACCAACATCAATAAACAAAATGACAAACAGCCGCTGGATGGTTTTCGGTGGCAGAGGAAGCAGCACAACGGGCAATGAAGTTCTGCATTCAGGTTATGTTTTGGTGCATAACCTTGTATTTCCATTTTGGAGGAAGAGGAAGAAATTACCAGAGGAGAAAAGACTGAAAGAGGGAAACAAGGCGGGAAAGAAGGAAGGGTGAAATAGGGAGAAAAGAAAGAAAGAAGAGAGGAGAAAACGGAAGATTTCAGATCATCAGATTTGGTGATTTACAGGTGATAATGTTTCAGCTGCCTCACACTGACATGGTCACTGAACTGCTCCTAAAACAATGGTTACATGTAACACAGACATAGAAGTCAAGGCAAGACATGCACCTGAAAATCACCAGAAGAGTTCACTGGAAATACAGAAGGAAAGCAGCCAGACATCAGAGTTACCTCAGTAAATGTATTTACTTTACTGCTAACCTTCGTTCCTCAGATCCCAGTCTGGTCTCTGGGTGATTTTCTGTTTCTGAGCAGCGCAGAGAGTCACAGACAAGATAAGGAGAACTGCAGCAGCCTTCATTCTTCAATCTGCATCTGCGAACAGATGCACAACAACACTGCGGCCACAAAGTGCAAGTAAACTGCTGTCTGACACAAGAAAGCAACAGTCAAAGAGCTAAGACTTCATATGCAGGAATGAAAAAGTAAAAAAAAAAAAAAAAAAAAAAAAAAAAAAAAAAACACCTACCTGCAGGAGTCAAACAGTGGATAAAGTGTGTGACTTTCTGTTGAGCAGCTTATTATATGTAAAGGAGGGAGGGTCTTCAGTCTCCACTCCCACACACTCAGCGTCGTATATCAGGAGTTCAGTTCAAAGTCGGGGCTCAGACCTGTTCAGACTTTTCCCCCCCTCAGTCACTGTTTTCTATCAGGAGGTTTTTAGAGCTCACAAAACAAGACAGTGATTTTTGGATTAACTCAATCAGACACAGTTGAACACGTGTTTAATGAGGTCGAACACGTCCAGAAAAAAAAAAGAAATGAAAACATATATGAAGTAAACTCGCTGCAGTGTGATCTCAGTCCTCTGGGACCTTCGGCAGACGTGTTTGATGTTTAACGTCTAACCTATAGCTACATTCCTGTTCTTCATCTGCTTCCCATCTGCAGGCCTGAGCAGACGGACCAGGGTCTTACACTGGACTCTACCTGCTCTGATGGTGGTGGGTAGATACAAAATTCTGCATGTACTCCAGAGGCTGTGAAGGCCACTTTACATGATGGAATTTAGACGGGGGGGGGTTTGTGCAAATCTTAATAAAAACGTAAGAAGAAAGGTTAAACCACATGTTGATTAAAAATAAAATCCTCAGTTCTTGTGAACCAGTTGATATATTTGTTGTTGACGTGCATGTGAAGATGAAAACCAGACTCAACTACAGTCCTATGAGGCAAATGATCAGTTATGGCCAAAGCATGTGGACACAGCATCACACCCATATGTGACTGTGCAACATATGATTCAAAAACCACGGGCTGCTGCTGTTGACAGCTGCAGGAATCCGCTCCCATGCAGACTCAGGAGCATCCAGCGCTGGTGTTGGTTGATGAGGTCTGGCTCGCAGTCGGGGGTTCCAGTTCATCCCAGAGGTGCTGGCTGGGGTTTGAGGTCACGACTCAGGAGGACGTAGCGGGGGAAATCATTTCCTCATGGAGCTGGTTTTTGTGCACAGGGACATTGTCATTAAAGCAAAACCAATATATCAGGAGATGTTAGCTTTCTGCCCGGGAAAGAAAGTGAACCAAGTAAGCTGACCTGGGAGCGGAGTGCAGGAGGACTGGGTGGAAGGCTCGCTGTGAAGGAGGAGAGGCACCAAGAACATCTGGGACGCCGCAGAGAAGTCTTGGGAGTGGGGCGACCAGTGGCGTGTAGTCAAAACGTGGACTCAAGTCGGTGCCTGATCTTGCCTGGCTCGGTCGTCCAGGTGAGGGTGTTTGATGTTAAGACCCGCAACACCTAATGACCCCCGGGTTCATCACTGACAATGTGTCCAGGTTGCACCTTGGGGTGTATCATAGAACTAAGGGATCCATATGAGGACTGTATATTATAATATAAAATATTGATGCCAGTACTGGCCTCCAAGTGGAAACAAACTATTGTCTGAAAGTAAGGGGTTTCAGTGAAGGTCCTCCAACCTAAACGAGCGCGTAGGACCCATGGCAGCGTTTCCTGTATCAGCAGCAGGAGAGATGCCACAGATGAACCCGTTAAAAAAAATACAGTGCTGTGGTAAAGGGTTGGTTACATTTAGGCACAAAAACAAATTGGTTAGGTTTAGGTAACATCCTGGTTTAGGTTAGAGGACCTCTGTTGTCATGGTTACAGTAATAAACACATGGTTAAATGTTGCAGAACAATCATCATGATGTTTTGTAGACTCATCCATCCCACAGTCCCAAAATAAAAGTGATGGGTTGTCCAAATACTTTTAGCTTTACGGTCTAGAAGTGTTTCACATTAAAATTGGAGTTATGTAATCTCGTTTGCTGTTTGTTCTCTTTCTGCATTTATAAATAATTACACAACAAAGGAGAAGTCAAAACTAAATTTTGAGTCTGAAGACTATTTATACACTATAGATTTAACCTGAGCAGATGGTCGACAAATCAGAGACAGTATCTGCAGGAGTCTTTGTTGTTGTTTTTTTTTTTTATTTTGTTTCAAATCCAGGTGAACAGCATACAACTTTCAGGGTCCTCAGTCAGCTCAGTGGAAAGTGAGGACCTGCAGTAACTCCAAGAGCATGCTTGCTCAGCAAACGGCCCCTGAATCAATACAAAAGGAAAAGGTCACTGCCATCCCTTAGCATGACATCAGATAAATCGCTCTCAAAGAATCACATGGGGGGCAGGGTGGAGGGGGCAGGGGTGGGGGGCAAGTATGATATCACCGGGCAAAAAATACAAACTTTTTTTTTTTTCTTCTTCTTCCAAGCATTTTCAAATGAACCTACAACTAAAAATATATTCTCACTTCATCAATGGAATTATCGTCAAGCTCTTACAAAGAAGCACACGTCTCATAAATAGCTAAATCTGCAGCCCACCACTCACACCCTTGACTGAACAGGCCCGTTTCCCCGACAACAGCCCCAGTATAACTCGACAGTTTGTAATTAACTGCTTGTTTTTCTTTCCGTTTCAATCATCCTTTCAGCAAAAAAGCCCATGAAACCATTTCATGTAAGAGTGCAGAGTTATGAGGAAAAAAAAAACTAAATACCTCAAAGTCAACATGAGAGTAGTGATTAAAAAGTTTAGGGAAAGCTGTCAGTTTGTTTCAGTCAGCATCAAACAGATCCAGGACGTGGATTAAAAGAGATTCTAGATCAGCGAGGAGGGTTCTCGTGATGGAATTATGGGAAATGTGCAGTTTGTTAGCTTTTTGTTTTAGCATCATTAGCTTTTGTATTAAAGAAC